TTAATGAAAACCTTAGAACTGAAATTCTGAATTAAAGAAAAGAATACAATAAACTGACTATTGTTGTCCTATTTATACTAGTTTGGACAAATCCTAATTCTAGACTGAAAGCTATTCCTAATATTTTATTAAGTAGGAATCCTAAGTAAAAAAGGAAAACTAAAAACTATTCCTAATTAATACTTTATTAAATAGGAAAACTACTCCTAAATAATATTAATAATATATTCTCTGCATCACTTCTGAAAAAGCAAAGTTCTCAGACACTGAGTACTAAGTTCTCTACATGTTCCACTTAATTAAAAGCCGGGACATGATATCAAAGTTCCCATTGCATGTTCAACAAGAATCTCATACATGAGTACAGAATAACAGATCATCTCTTATCTTAATATTGTCATTCAAACCTAGCGCATATTATTCTAATACGACAAAGGATCCCTAACAAGCATGTTCCACATAAAATTATAAAACCATAAAGCACGCCACCTATTCTAATCTATTTTCACCCTTCTATTTCTCATTTATAGTTTCACTCGACATTCTACCGGGTCTAATTACTCAAAGCAGAAACATGTGTAATGAATGTATCATTTAAAAAGTTATAAGGAGAAATAAATTGATAAAAGATCTCAATGTCTAAGTGCTTACTTAGACTACAATTACTTCGGAAGTTACAATTTCATGTTCCACAAATAATCCATGTCTTAGATAATGCCATAAACCTCCTCGAAAAACTAAATTACCCAGACCCTTTTCGCCATTCAAAATAAATCATGTTTTCTGTGATATTTCAAGAAAAAGAAATTAGAAACACAGAGCTTTGGATTCTAAAATACATCTAAAAAGAGCAAGATCCAACCAGCATAAACAGAATCATGCCAACCCTCTAGAAGTAAAAGAGCATAACATAATCCTCCAAACACCCATTGCCCAGAACTCCTAATAAAAAACCAACCACAAGCAACTTAAGCGTACCCTAAAGAACCATCATTCAACAATTATATGTATATGCACCCACAAATAATTTGACCATCCATCCACATCTTCACGTTAGACAAGCATCCAAAAAATCCAACTTTGCAAAATAAAACCGCACAAATTCCATTCCGCAGCAAAATCCCAATCAAGTAACCGATCAAACCCAACTGTCTCCTCTCAAAATATAATCTGAAACTACAAGCTAGCACGCTTTAAAACCAAAAATTTACAACATAAATTTAAAATTTTACAAACTTTCTTACAACCCAGAACCCCAAATATCAATTAGAACCAAGAATCTTCCCAACAAACTTAGCCCAATCAAAACTCACCCAATGATGCTAAAACGCAATTTCCTCTTCGAAAAACAAATACCCACTAGATCAAACAGAAAATATACCTCAAAACTGAAGGGAAAACCTCAAAAGTCATGAAATTTAACAAATTTCGGAGCAAACGAACAAACCATAAGCCAGGCCCACACATATTAACCAAAAACACTCGAGACAAATTTGTTAACAATCGATTAAAAAAAAAAAAAAAAGATTATTACCTTGTTACCATGAACAAATTTTAGAGCTTGTGAATGTATGTAGAAATTCCCTGCAAAACGAAAGTTTATAATTAAAAGAAAAAAAAATCATAATAAATATTATCTATATATGGTGATTAAAACAATCCTAAAGCTTCAAATTTTGACATAAAAAAAATTAATTTAATAAAAAAAGGACAAACTAAGAAGAACATAAACTGACCAGGTTGAAGGATTAATTGAGAGATCGAGAGATCGGAGAGAGAGAGATAGAGACTCTGATGCTATGCTTTACATTATTTATATATACAGAGTTTCGTGGGTTTTTATTTTATTTTATTTATTTTTATTTTTATTTTTTTGTGTGTGTAAGTTTTACTTGTAATAACAAAACTGCAATTCCAATGGGAATTAGGAATTCTATTTTTTAATGTTTTTAATATTTTAATAAAAAATAAAGTATTTTCATGAACGAGTAAATAAATAAATAGCTAAAGAAATATATAAAATGAGCATTTTAAAATTTTTTAATCATAAACATTATGAGTTTTATTTATTTCAATTATAACTCAAAAATAATGAAAATGGCTTATATTGCTTAAATTATAATTAATAATATGAAAAACACTTCATTAGTATCTCCTATTAGAGTCCCAATTATTTTTTTCTTTTTTTATTAACTTATTATTATTTTTTCTTAAAAGGGCTTAGTTATATGACCGAATATTTTATCTTATTTTTATGGGGGGAAATGGGTTTAGTGTTACATAATATAAGTTTAATTAATGAGAAAATATAGTCAAATTTAAGCACTTGAAAGTCAAGTTATATCATTATCATATGAATAAATTATTCATATTTATTTTTTAAAAAACAAATTAATATTTTGTGATTTAAAAAATGTTTAATAATTAACTAATAAACAAAATAATTCGTTAAATCTGTTAATGAGTCAAGCAAACACATGCTGTAAATCTTTTAATTATGTTGTTTTAGCCATTAGGTACAACAATGAAGCATATTTTACTTGTATTTCTGGTTTTGGAAAACGAGAAAGGAAAAAACGTTTTTATAAAACGTGTTTTCAAGACTGTGATTATGTTGGTTGAAGCGAGTTAAAAATTTGAATGATGCCAGATGGCAAAAAAAGAGTTGACCACAGGAGAATGATACCCACAAAACAAGAAAATGTTTTTCTAACGTCATCTTCCACTTTTTACAACACTATTTGTTGTCAAATAAACTATGCCAACTGCCCTCACCTATAAGTTACATCCATTTATTCACATAAAAAAATATTATTGGATTAATTTCATTAATTTTGGAATTATGAATATAAATTTTATGGATAATAAGATATAGTGAACGACATTTTCCCACCCAGCGTTTGTCTTAAGGACACTTTTCACATAAAAAGCTTAAAAATACTGCATTCTCATCCAAAGTTTATATTCTGTTAATACCCAAAACATATTTCACATTCTCAGCCGACATTTGACGAGTTATCAAAAGCTATGATAAGATGAGTTTTGTAAAGTAGAGATCGATGGATCGAATGGTGATAACCGATTGAATATACATCATCAGAAATAGCCGATCATCAACTGAGAATAAGAAATCCTAGCTTTACAGTGGCCGACAATCGATGAAAAATCAAGTGTCGAATTAAAAGATGTTTTATAGAAAAGAGACCAAATGTTTAAATAGTAGTGATTGAAAGAATTTTTACTGTCAGAATCAGCTTTGGGTTTTGACGAAATATAAACTTTGGATATAAAAGTGACATTTTGAAATTTTTTAGGTGAAAAAGTGCCATTAAAGCAAACTTTGGGTGGGAAAAAGTCCTCTAATAGGATAATACGAAGAGTAGGCGTCGAGGAAGGTGAGAGGCAAGAAAGTGATAAAATTGATTCTAACTAAATAGAAGCATATTCTATTATTCCCATATCACAATAATATTTTTTATTTTTCTTAAATTATAGAGTTTTTTTTTTTAAAAAAAAAAGGGAAGTGGGGTCCTCTAATTCCTAGCCGCAAGACAGTGGATTGAGGTGGATCCCACATTTTCTTGGCACGTCATCCATCAACAGGCCCCACTTTTCTCGCTCTCTCTCTCTCTCTCTCTCTTTTTTTTTTTTCCCTTCACCACACCACGTTCCCACGATTCTTTTTAATCAATTAATTATTCTAATTAATTTGGAATACGGAAAATAAATCCGTATTGGTTGGTCAACTTCTAAACTAAATTAGTGCAAAAATATAAAGTGGGTATGTTTTGGTTTACCCGCATTAATTTGGAATAACCAAATCAATTTGATACGTAATTTTGTGGTTTTGTGAGTGATAGATGGGAAATGACTTTATAAAAGCTGATACTACCCTCTTACTTCCAAAGAATTTTTACACAATTTTCAGATTTTGTGGAATGTTATTCCCTATGAAATATAAAGACAAATTTACTAAATTGTTCAAGTAAAAGTAGAACACCATCACAACCAGTTATGGCAAATTTTATAAAATCACTTCTTCTTTTTCATTTTTTTCCCCTTTCTTCTAAAATGTATTTACCCAACAAAGAAAAAAAGATTTTTTTTTTGTTTTTTTTTACCGAGGATGTTCGAACCAATTTACACATATCTTAACTAATTCTTAAGACTTTGAAAGAGTTCCAGTGACTATCCTAATTCAAAAAATTTTATGTTTACATTTTTCAATCATTTACAATATTAAAAAAAATGACGAAATTCATAAAAGAAACAGATCATTATATAATAATTTCTTGTTGAGTTCATAAGCCTAAGGTTAGAAACAGAATTTAGCAAAAGAATTTTTAAAAGTTTATGCAAATTGCCGCCCACATGAAACAGAGAAAGTCCAAATGTGAAGAAATCTCAATTCTTCATTCTCTAGCTTGCTTAAAATCAAATTCTTTCTCTATCTTAATACCAAAACAACAATGTGCTGGCTTTTGTCCTCTAGGGAAGCTACCTACCTGCACCATCCATCCTCAACTTCCTCTAAACTTTTTCTTTAATCTTTATATTTTCTTTAGAGCAAGGATCATTCAACACCACTTCCTCAAGAGATTCTCTATTCATCTATTTCTTTATAATATGGAATCTTATTGCCTCACCAATCATTACCCCTACAGTAATACAAAAGCTCTAGGTACAGGGAATCGCTGAATTACCAGCTCAATAACGTTGCAGGACCAACTCGGATAATTGAATTCGTATCTAAGTAGTACACCATACTTAAGATCTCAAATCTACAGATAGATACTAACTTGATATTAACGTTACTGAGACGGTAACATAATAGATCACATCTAACAAATCGCTGCCTTAATGGTATCCGAAATAGTACAAAGTGATGATAAAATTATTCGGAGAGGTTTCCCAGCAACCCAAGACAGAATCATTTACCAGATGGAACTTTTTGCAGAGGCAAAAGACATATATCAGAATAATGAAATGAACAAGAAACGTATAAGCCCATGAAAGGATCTTTCTTTGCCTATTAAACTAAACAGAACCTTAATTTTTCACTTAGACAATGTTCTACGTTTACATGATTTAGACTTATGATCATACGTTGGTACAACAGAGTTCACTTGATACTAGCATAAAATTTCAGATGCCCCAAAAGAAAATAAACATATATAATTTCTGAAGAGAGTGAAATCTACCAGATGTTTTCTTTTTATTTTCCCTCTTGTTCCACAGGAGTTTAAGTATACAAACACCAAGGTCATTCACTCAATAAAGTAAACGGAATATGAAATATTAGCCTCTCTGGAACTCATCACTTGCGAGCTTCAACTTTTTTCTGCTCTTTGGCTGACAAAACAAATGATTTCAAGTTAGCTTCACAGGAAAAAAACAGTTTTATGGATTCGAAATTAACCATATCCAATTTCTGCTCCATATTCTGGAGCTTCCCATTGAAAAGACTTGTAAAGTATAATCAGACGGCAGAGGAAGCATCACAAAGTGATGCAAAAAGAGGCAAACATTAAAAGTTGATAAATTGCAAAATTGGATATCATACCAGCCTTCTCTTCCTCTCGCTTCTTTGCAGCCTCTGCCCTTTGTTGACGTATTAGGGCTAAGCGCTCTACAAGAACAATATAAATAATCAAAAAAATTAGAAGATAACTGCAACGAAGGGTGAATGCATAAGATATACAAGAAATAATATCATAGATATCAACGGGCAACTTTTTGTGGAGTAAGAAAGAGGAAAAATATTAGGTCAACTGACTACCAGGATCAGAAAAGTTAGGAAATGTATACAGTAGACGTGATACAGACAGAAACTAATTGACACATACAGAGGAAAAAAGATGATCTTACAGTGAGAAAGAGTCGAGGTAGTGTTCTAAGAATGAAAATGTGTTCATTAATAATGATGCAATGAATTTTAAGTTGCATTTGTTTAAAACGGGATCTTCTAAGATAGTGCTGGTAAACACCAAAAGACAAAAATTCAATCAAACTCTTTTGTATTGAAAATTGTAAAATTGTCTTTAGTGTTTATCAGTTCCATCTAATGGAAATTTATATTTTAAAAAAATGCGTCAAGCATGTGTTGTTTGTGTGTGTGTGTATTTAGGAAAGCCTCCTCTCTCATGATACAACAATTCAATTTTTATCTCTACTCATTTCATCCAATACACCCACAAAATCTCAAGAACTTTTGCCTAGCCTCCTGAAGTCCAAATGTAATTCCCAACTTTCACATTTTAACAATCTCCCTCAAATGGATCAACCTCCAACATGAAGAATTTCCATCAAGTGCCATGCCAGAAGCTCAAGCCCTAGACTTCAATACCAGAAGCTACAATAGCTGAAAACATTTGCTTTTAATAAACTGATTATGCAAATGGAATTCAGCCAGTCTAAGAAGTTTGCTACTGTACACACTCCTTTGCCCTGTTTTCTATTATGCACCTCTTATGCTTCAGTAAACTTTCCTCTGTCAAAAAGGACGATCAAACAGTGAACAGCATCAAGAATTACAACAAGGCAATAACTCTCCTACCGATAGAAGCAGATGCTCTAACAGCAGTAACCAAAAACTACAAGTGATTATTAGGCAACTCAAACTTGCAGTGCTGGAGACAATTTACAATAAGAAGCATGATGATGAGGGACACAGCATGATTATATTTCAACAGGACGTAATCTACTGTCCACCCAAACCACAACAAAATGAAAACTAGCTGGTTTCAACTTGTGTACACTCACATGTCCCAGTTACTAAAAACAAAGATCAATAAAAAATGAGTTGTGCTATGGACAGTCGCGCCTGCAACAGTTGCTGCACAGTTCTTTGACATGTGTCCCAAAAAAATAAAATTTTAATTTATTAAATTATTATTTAATTTTTTTAAAGGGCAAGGTGTCGAGAGATGTGCAGCGACTGTCCCAGACTTGACTGTTGCTAGCACAACTCATAAAACATTTATCATTGCTCATTATCAGCACATACAAAATCACATAGATTCAACTTTAGCTATAGCAAAGGTGTGCGTTAAGTTTGGCTAACCATCAAAAAGAAGCAAAAAAACATACCAGTAAGAAAGGAAAAGTCATATGCCATTACATTTTGGGGCATAATCTCATTCTATAATTAACCTTTGCATCTTAAATTTCAATGAACAGTCTGAAAAGAAAAGTAATGCATTGACAAGATCCAATTACCCAAATCTTTTCTTGCTTGTTCAGTTTTTCCTTGTTCCTGCAACCTCATATATCGCTCATGAGCTTTTTGCTTCTCTATCTCCTCTCTGCAAACAGATGTAATGAAAATGAGAAAAAAACAGAACCCTCACCTAAAAACTTACTTGCTTCATACAACATATATAACTGGAAATAGCAATATCATCCTGAATACATAAGATGCTTAGGATTCTCAACTATTTTGAGACAGAGCTTATGAGTAACATCAACAAGTTTAAACCAGAATATAATCCAAAAACATTCAATTTGTCTAGTCCTTAGAAAGAGAATAGTATTAACTGCAACTCAGTAACATTAAATACCATAAAAACTGATGCAAGAGATTTTGGCATAATAATTGAGTCAGATTAACACCATACACAGATGAATACGACAACTGATTGGAAATTGTTTGGAATAAGACCATGCTAGTTCACTATCAAGATGGAACAAGCCTCTTCCATGCTTGGGTGGTGATCCATAATGATTCATAAAATCATACATCAAGGATTAAAGAAATTCCATTTACTCAAACTATATCCTAATCTGACAAGGTAAACAATTTAAAATTGTAAATTCTAGCTCTAATTCTTCATTTAAGCTACTTTACATTATCTTTTCTCAGACAAAGCATCATAATTATAAAAATCATGGCTAACAGATTAAACTGCATAAATTAAAGAGTGAAACCATATTTATGAAGTTTGAAATTTTGGTTTGACTTATTAAAAAAAAATAAAAAAATTCAACCACTTGAGGCAAGTAATATGCATTTTAAAAACTTAAAAGTGCATTTTCTATGTGTAGTATCAATCAAAAAGCAAACATGAAAAATCTGAAAAATCTGCTAGCACTGCCTCAGCACCCTGAGCAAGGCCCTGAACCATGTCATACTGATATAAGCCTAACAACGGGACCAGATGCGTTTTCAAAAGCTCTAATAATGTAGCAAGCTATCCCACTGTCAATTACTGCCTCGTAAACAACATAGTTTTTTTATTATGGATGTAGTAAAAAACAGCTTATACTGATTTGAAATAGAATTAAGAAGTACAAACCTTTCACGTCTCGAGAGTTCAGTTGTTCTCCCCATCTGGAAAATAGAATTTTGGTTACTCAAGGCAGATTGACATCTAAGAAAACAAGACTGAAAAACTGTAGGATAAGATTTGAGCATTAAAACTTACATCAGCATCTTTAGCCTTCACATTCTTTGATTTTGCCAAATTAGGATTCTCAATCTCAATAATTCCCTGAGTGCCTTTCTTCTTCTGCCAACAGTAAGACCGATTCAACGATTAGAGAATGACATTTTCAAAAGAAAGACACTTCAACTGGAATCAACTGATCCACCAAAAGAAAAATGTTCTTGCAAAATAAACTGCTCACCTCCTGTTCGTCTTCTACCTCCTCTTCAGACTCTTCCTCCTCCTCCTCTACTTCAGCCTCTTCCTGATATAACAAAAGAAAATATATCCTTCCTCATGTATTCAAATCAGAGGAACAGATGCACACACATACAATCAAATTTTCTTTTCCCTTTCCTTTTTTCCTTTTATTATTTATGATTTTGTTGGGGGGCGGGGGTGGGGCACAGCCATTAGAAAAGTAACAGACTAGAGTTTGAAGAATAAAACCACCAGAATGCCAAAGTAACAGATTATCCCAAGATATCATTGCCCAGATTTTCATTTTTTTTTTTTTTTTTAATTCAAAATGGTATATATAAAAAATGAAACTAATCCCCTTCATCACCTCCTATTCCAATCTTTAGTAACAAGAAACAAAGGACACATAATACCATGCCATTCCTTGATTTCAACCCAACAAACAAAAATCATCACTGAGATACTTCTCCACATCCATGTCATAGCAACTAGCTCTAACAAAATGTTTTTTTCTTTCACAGCGATTTATTTATAAGTAGTATACTGAGTATCATCATATTCACTTATATTACAAAAGTCACCAGAGAGCCAAAGCTTCAGCCATTGACCTGAACCTTTCAAATTCAGATTCAATCAGAGAGTCTGTGATTTCCAATAGGATACAGATAGTTTCCTCCTCCTAAAATTAGCATTATGCATACTGGTCACATTAATGGTTGGCCATGTAGGGGATTAGATTATCAGCAACTACAAAATCTGAATGAAAGAAATGTTTCAAAAAGAAATGTTTCAAATAATTTAGTTGGGACCATCATCAAACATGATAATGGAGTTCAATGCCCATTCTTATTTCCCAGCACCGAGTTTCTCTGGGGAGTGAAATGAAAATATCACATAAATTACGAGATTGCTTTATGCATCAGAATCCCATCAAACATGTTTTCAAACTATTAACACTGGCTAGAAATAATCACTACAAACCAATATAACAGCCAATTCAAAAAGCTTCTAAGCAAGCAAGAAATAAGAATGTTCCCAGAAACAATCAAACAAATGCAAATGGAATTCAAGACCACAATACTAGCTGCAAGAAGGAAAAAGGCAAAAAACGCAAACCTGTTTAAAAGTACGTGGACGAGCAGAAGTACCAGCAACTGCAACCATTCAATTCAAACACAAAGCACACAAAGTCAGCTTCTTTCTCGGTAAAATAAAAATAAAAATGAAGCATATTCATAATTCATCTAAAAGAAGCATAATCATCTAACTTGAGCTTGAGCTTTCTTTCAAAAAGCAAGCTTGAACAATCACCGAAATAAAAACTTTTAACCCTAAATTCTCATTCCTTAAAAAAAATGAACTACCAAATAATTCACAAAATATCCCCAAATTTCTAATTTCTAATCAGAATAATATTAAAAGATATAAATGTCAAAAATAAAATGAAAACGATTCCAACAACACAAGTAGATCTACTAAGAACCGATTATAACAACCAAATTCAGAGAGAATGAAAACGACCCACGATTGGAAACCTACTGTAGATCTAATATTACACCAAAAACAAACAAATAGAAAAGGAGAGAGGGGCAGTACGGAGCTCTTCGGGAGTTGAGAAGTGGCGGTGGCCGGTGGGCTTTCCCTTGAACTTTCCTCTTCCCATTTTCTGATACAAAAACGACGACGGAGAAGATGAGAAGAAGAAGAAGAAGAAGAAGAAGAAGAGAAGATTGGTTTTGTTTGGATTCTAGGTTCCGCTTCTCCTCACTGATTTTTTGAATCTATGTGGTGTTACTGAAGTTCGTTTTATTAGGTTGATTTTGTAGCGGAAAGGAGTATCACTGCGTTACCTTCACGCGACTATTAAGCGAGTTGTTCCGCCGTATAAGTATGCTTTTTTAGCCTTTGTAAAAGCACTTTTTAATAAGACATTCCTTGCATAAATATTTTTATTGATGTTATATAATAAATGTAAAATAATTTTAACTATTTAAAATGATTTTCTAATAAGATTTTTTTTTTTTTTTTTTTTTAGGTAACCGGATGTTAGGTCATTTATATCATCTTAACTAATCTTTGAGACTAAAAATTGACAATCAGATAAATTTTTTAGCAAATACTTCTATCAACCTATGACTTTTTAAAGAATCTCTTTTTATTCTTTCTCCATCTAATGATAAAATATTTAGATGTATATATGGTTTGAATAATTATCAAATTATTCTAATAAGAATTTATCAATAATTTTATAAAAGTGTTATGAGAGTTTTGTAAAATTAGGTCGGGAAACAACATCAACTTCAATTCCATGAAGGGCATGGCCCTCCACGATGAAATGTAAATGATTCTGTCGTCAAATTTTATCCATTATTACTCCACTTTTCCCTTTAAAGGATATATAAATAAAGAATATTGTGTATCATTGGGGCTAAAAATCTTGAAAGCATGAAGGGTTTGAAGCGACCCCCATTAATTATAAATTATTACTATTTGGCGTTTAAGATATGCCATTTTCATTCTAATTTGTTTTGATTAGGCAAAAAAAAAAAAAAAACAAAAATTATACCTAAATATGAATTCTCTTTTGAGCTCATTTGAAATATTGAAATTTCAAAATCTTCTCATTATATTTATATATTTAACTTGATTAATTTTGTATATTAAAACCCTTTTGGTAAATTTATTAAAAAAGATAAATACTTTTCCCCCCCAAATATAGCCTAATACACTTTTTCATACACGACTTTTAAAATACCAATTATACTCACAAAACATAATTCTTAGTAAATTTCGTCTTGAAAGGGCAAATAGTCAAGTTTATGAGAGTAAAGGCAATGGTCTTGGTTAGTTGTTTGTTTGCGCAATCAAGCTCTTTTCCGGCAACCTCGTCATTGGAGATTACTCCCAACACCACCATTCCCTCCACCGACACATCTTCTCCAATCCCAATGCTTTGCTCATCGAACGTCATGCCCCTTTCCTAGGTTTTGGGTTGTTTGTTTGATTGATGAAGTGGGATTGACCCCATTCGATGTTTGGTTGATGGAGATGATAAAGGAGGCTGTTAGGAGTGTTTTCTAGCTGCGGTGTGGTTGATTTCTGGTCACCAACACCCCCAAAGCTCCACCTTTCCCCGTTTTCCCCTTGCACACAACATGTTGACAAAAGGTCGAGCTCAACTCAACACTCCTAGCGACGCACGCAACAAGGCGACCATCTGCCCAACAAAAACAACCACAAGATTGACCTAATTGGCGAGCAAGGCAACAGAGAGACGATTCGGGCAAGCTTTCACTTTTTGGTGAGATGCCAAGCCTCACAGGCAGAGAGAGGGCAGTGGTTGGGGATTTTTACGAGCAGGTGCTGGGCACCCAAAAAAACCGATGGACGACAAAGGGAGTAGGGAAAGCCTATTGGATGGTGTTTTTGAAAGGGGGTGAAGGGGTTCCAATGGTGGTGAAGGGTGAATTTTTGTGTGCAATCTACGAAACAAGCCTAAAGATCGTGTTTGTCGGAAAAAATGGACATTTTTTGGAGATTAGAGGGTGAAAATGGGTCAGGTGATTCTTTGGTGTAATTTTGTCTTCACAATGAAAATCACGTAATTAACGGAAATTGTTAACGAATGTAATGTTTGGATAGTAAAGTGATATTTTAAATGTTCGTGGGTGAAAATGTCATTAGACCATTATTTGGGTGGAAAAGTCTTTACTCCTAAAAAACTTGTATATTTTTTTTACCAATAACTAGAGTTAAGTATAACTACTTTTTCCAACCCACAAAAAAGCTTATACACTTTCCTACCCTCAAACTTTTAAAATACCCCTTACTACCTAACTATTATGTCTCACTCTGTTTGGATGGAAACAGTTATTTCATGAAAATACCCTTTTTCTTTCTCTAATCAAACTTCGAAAACCCTAGGGTGGGGCAGCTTCAATCGCCGTGATTGGTGAGCAAACAGAGTTGAGAATGTGGACTTTTGGAGAGGAAGATTAGGGAGTCGATTGGTGGTGACAGGGACGATTTCAATGACGAAATCGACTGGTAAACACACACGTTGATGTTGGCAGGTTGAGCTGGGTGCAACAATAAATCGAATAGGTGTGGTGACTTTGGGACAGTGAGATTGGAGTGATCTGGGAGAGAACAGTGGCAAAAAAAAAAAAAAACACAACACCAGCACAACTAATCAAAACCCACCAATCGAGCACCAAAAACCCAGCAATTTGTGGAGGAAACCACTGCAAATCGCGACTATCCCACGAAGGAAAGAGTTGGACATGGGCGGCTAACGGCGAGCACACAGGGTTAGAGGACGGGTGGGTTTTGAAGAGCAGAGGGTGGGGAATCGGGTAGTAGTTGCAGGGGGCGTTTTGGGTGACTGAATCAATCGAAAAAAGGTCGAAAAGATAGGAAATCACGTAAAAACTCAGGCTACAATTTTCGGCGATGGGCAGGTGCATCAAGCTCGAGTTGAACGAATTAAGGGTAAGAGAGGCTCAGAGAAGAGGATGGAGGAGACGGTGAGTTTTAGGGTGGATTTTTGACATCGAAAATGAACGAAAATCTAGCTTGAAGAGTCAGTCGTGTGAATGGAGGTGGTGAAATGGTGAGTGATGACAGCAAACGGAGGCTTGGGCTTTGTAGAGGAGGTGATGAGGATTCTGTAGGTGGTCTTAAAAGTGATTTTGGACACCAAGATCAGTAAAAAAAAATGGCAAAAACTACCGACTATGACATTGCTAACATGCGTCGTCCCTTTTTTCTCTTCTTTTCTAGTGGCCAAAATGTTTGTTGACTATTCTATCCTTACTTATAATGAATTTTTGACTATTTTACCCTTCATCACATTGTGTATTACTAACAAAATTGTTTTTTGGGTATTAAAATAGTGTTTTAAAAGTTTGAGGGTGGAAAAATATCATTAAATTTTTTTGTTGGGTGGGAAAAAGCCGTTAACTCCAAATAACTACATTTTCTATAAGCTTACTCTCATAAAGTCCTCTTCTATGAGTCCCACTGGACTGGAATAAGCCCTCTCGAGCCAACCTAATAGTGATAGGCAAATTTCTTAGATCGTTCGTACTTACTACTTAGAAAGGTGAACGACATCGTTGGCTGCAGAGGTTTTTCTCCCGACAGCGGCACTGAAGAAGAAGAAACAACGGAGATGGAGAGTGAACGCAATAATAAGAAGAGGAAGAAAAGCCCTAAAACCCACTTACAGCTCAACCCCAACTGGGCTCAACTTCAACTAGTAACTCTCTTTCTTTATCCAACTTCATTTCCAATCTCTCTTTATCTTTATTTCAATTTATTTATTTGTTTTGCAGAAGCTGAAAAGCAATGGCTTTAACAAGTTTTCGAAACCCACAAAAGACCCGGAGTCAGAAACCCAAAACTCAATCTTAGGTAACACGACGGACACTGCTTGAACGTCGCCGTATTTTTGAATAGTATGCTTTGGCTTTGGTGTTTCTAAATTTGGATTTTTTCTTAACTGTTTTTTAATGTGTAGGTAAACGTAAAGATAGACCGGAGGCAGAGTCTAAGCTCAATCCTCTGACTCCAATTAATGATGATTTCAGGTACTTCTTTAAGTGGAACTCGCATATCAAGTCATCTTTGCATATATATTAAACTACATAGCGAATCTTTATATTGTTGCTTTTTTAGTCGAAAAAAAAATTAATGAATGTGTTGTGTGATTTTATTGATGATGCGATACAGACTGTCCCAATTAGTGGTCTTTTCGGTTGAGCAGGCTTTGAATTGTAGTTTATGATGATAAAACAAATTAGTATTAGTTAATGGAAAGGGGTGGAGTGTATGTGAAACCAGGGAGTTAGTAAGTTCAAGTTTGAAACTTTCGACAATTGGGTATTGAGAAGAAAGTTTGTTTTGTGGTTAACGTTTAAGAATTATAAGGCCATCTTGAGCTAGAATGACATGATGTTGTATATTATGATTTCCTTCCTTTGACTGTAAATGCAGATTAACTAATTAACAATTTGACAGTTTAACAGATGTGGTGGCTATGGATTGTGAAATGGTTGGTATCAGTCAGGGAAATAAAAGTGCTCTTGGAAGAGTTACGCTGGTATTTATTAATTCCCCTCTTGACATTACTTAATTGTTTGCCTTTGTATTATCTGTATAACATTCGGTATTGTGACCTATTATCTCATACCTAATTGACTATGGATTGATATGTATTCACATATGTTGATTATGTCATTAAGAATATGTAATAAACATATTTTCTGGTCCCTGTTTGGTGTACAGTGTCTATTTTTTGCTTAGAAAGATATTAGATCATGGTATTTATAATTTTTTGTTTGACATTAATCAAAATTTTATTTTCTCAAATGTTGGCATTATATTGAGAGCTACTAGTTGTCACTGCCTATACAACTCAGTTTAAAAATCACTTTTACCTGCTCAAGTCTTTTCCAAGTATGTTTCTTCTGCCTTGAGAGACAGAAATTGAGTTGGTTGAATGATTTGACTATTATACATGGTACTGAATGAGAATAAAATGAAAGTAAAGAAATTAAACAAATTCATCTCCTTGAAAGAAAAGTTTTTAAAGAAAGAAATATGATCTACCTAAAATTCAAAACTCTAGAACAAAATGATTGTAATATGTATATATGGTTGTGTAAAAAGTATATATATCATCTCAAACACAATGATTGTAATTGTTGATAAAATTGTGTGTTCAAGATGATATAGACAATAGAATTAGATCTCTGTTTATGAATTTGAAGGTTTTATTTTCAAATGTGAAATTACTTATAAATGTTTGTGGAAGACGTTATTTATTGACCTACTTAAATTAATGGCAGGTAAATAAGTGGGGAAATGTCTTGTATGATGAGTTCGTCCGTCCAGTTGAACGTGTTGTTGATTTTCGTACAAAAATTAGTGGTATTCGACCTAGAGACTTGAGGAAAGGTAAACTATTATCTTTGCTTTAGCTGTCTCTCTTGTTTATCTTTGTTTTATCTTTCTCTTTAACTTACTTTTATACTTAAGAGCATTATGTGTTTAGTTGGCCATTTGCAGTTTGCTAACTAGTGATTTACCTGAAATACACTTTGTTATGTGCTAGTCTCCCGTTCTTAATGACCTATTTTTCGCAAAGATACTTCTTAAAATGGAAACTCTAGTTGTAATTAGATGATAGGAGCCTGTGCTATAAGTATTATTTAAGGACATTATAATGAACACCTAATGAACATTTTGTGTATGCTTTTATGTATCTGCAGCAAAGGATTTTCGAATTGTTCAAAAGAAAGTGGCAGAGTTGGTTGAAGGAAGGATTCTTGTTGGCCATGCTTTGCACAATGATTTTAAGGTTTTACTTATCCAGTTTTTAATTTTCTTGGTTGTGTGAAGTTGAAATCAGGATTTTTGATATGAGTTTTCTTTTGGACAGGCATTACTATTAACTCATCCCAAGGAGGACTTGCGAGATACCTCAGAGTATCTACCCTTCCTAAAGTACTGGTTTCTTCTCTGGTTACGTTGGGACTAATTCTTATTCATACTTTACAATGTGTTCTAATAATGTGTGGTTGGTGAAGCAGGGAAGGCCGCAGAAAATCTCTCCGGCATCTTGCATCTGAGTTTCTTGGTGTTGAAATCCAAAACGGGGAGCACTGTCCGGTGAGTTTTGATTCTATTACTTCTATGAGGTTCATTTCGAATTCATACCATTATTTCATAGAATAACTACAGCAACAGCAGTACATTTGCGTCATGTACTTTTTATGCATTGGTTCTCTTTCTCCTGGAAACTTGTATCTTATCTATTTTTTTTATCGGTAAATGTTAGTACATCTCTTCCATTCTCTTTCATTTTTCAGGGGTTTTTTTTTTTTTGCGCATTCAAACTGTGATAATAATCTTGTCTAAACTGTTGTATATTTGCTTTCAGGTAGAAGATGCTCGTGCTGCGATGATGCTTTATCTTAAAAACAGAAAACAATGGGAGAAGAGCACTAAGGATCAGATAAGGCTTCAACAGAAGCAGATGAAACGCAAGCCTAAAAGGAAACCAAAGAAGAAAGAAGCTGTAAATGTTGACTATGCTGCAACTGCATCCTAGTTGTACCTTTGCCCAATTTTTTGGTTAAAGTTCTGGAAGCTACCAATTCCGGTCAGTCAAAGCAGGTCCAGCTACGCAGTGATTCGCAGATAAGTAGCAATCAACCAGTCGAGGAAAGAAGAGATCTATCAACAGGTAGTTTTCTTTGAACATGATAATTATATGATTTGTTTTGGTCATTGCCGGAAGGAACTTGATTAATGTATTCCATACTACAAAATTCCTCACCGATATAGGTTATGGATTTAGCTGTGCTTTATTTTTTCCTTTCTTTTGGAGAGACTGTTAAAGCAAAGAATAGGATTTGTAAGATAACTCTCCCGTGTTCTTTTATTGCTTTTGTATCCAGCGGCAATGGAATGAGAATTAAGCAAAATTTCCCATGAATGATGGAGTATCCAAAGGGGATTCAAGTTTTGATCAAATTGATTTTACTTTTGATAGTCAATTTTATGAATTTTTAATTACTTTTTGTTTTGACGATTTTATATTTATATGTTATTGAGTAATGATGTTAATTTGAAAATAAATAATAAATTGTCCACAAATTGACATCATGTAGAATAAAATTAATAAATTGGCTAAATTTAAGTTAATAATGCGTGGACAATATAGAAAGATAATTTTTTTATGAAAACACCTTTGAGTGACCAAGTGGTTCGATAGAGATTCTTACATGGATTATTTAAAAGATTTTGAGTTCAAATCTATCTTTGGGTGTTAATAGAGATAGTCATTAGAGTTTTTATCAATCGGTAATTCTTAGGTTTTGGAGTATTAATTGAGGTGCGCGCGTAAGCTAGTTAGACATATGCAAATATAAAGAAAAAAATAATAATAATAATAAATAAATAAAAAATTATGAAAACATAATGGATTTTCGGGATATATGAATTATGAGACTTTTCAGGATTCTAAAGAATATTTTTCTTTAAAAGTAAAAAACTGATAATTTATTACTTTTCAAGGCCTTCAAGATCACTGCGTGGAATATTATGTACTTTTCTTATACTCATCCAATATATATCTTTTTTTTCGAAAAGGAAATTAGATAGCCCAAGGGTAAGAGAGGAAACAGAGAAAATATATATTTTAAATTTAAAATCATAATAAAAATAGATATGAATTTAGAGAAAAATATATTTTCAAAACCATGATAAATGCTCTAAATAAAATAACTAAGACATAAATCTAGTAGTAAAATATAATAAAAGATAAATAAAGGAAGAAACCCTCTCTCACCAGAAAACCTGAAAGGCATATTTGAAAATTAATAAAAATTAATGTGGTGAGATTAAAGAGTTATAGACAAGGGCATCCTTTTTTCAGATCACCTGAGAGACAGAGAGAGAGTTGAGTCTGAGTCTGAGGCTGTCTGATTCGCCTTTTCAAAGACAAAATTCAAAACCCCACACACACGAACGACGCAACACAAACCCACCCACTTGGCTTTCTTTCGGTTTAACAACTCAAACATAAATAAACTCACTTCACTGATACTCTTACTTATTTCAATTTTTATTCACTTTCTCATTCTGCTCTTCTTTCGTTTTCCGTTTTAACTCATGGGTCGACCCCCGAGTAATGGAGGCCCCGCCTTCCGCTTTACTCAGACTGAGGTATGTTCTTCTTCTTCAAATTTTCCCTCCATATATTTTTTGTTTGTATTTCAATCTCTGAATGTGTGTAACTGCTTTGAAATTTATATTTAGAGTTCAGAATGTTAACTGGGTCGATTAGTTATTATGTTTTATCCGTTTCTGTTTCTGGGTTTTTATTTTTTATTTTTTTGGGCTATATGTGATGCACGAATGTGTATTTTTTCTTGTGAAAAAGAGAGGAAATGTAATTTATGATTTATGGTTGAAAGTATTAGACGTGTTAGTGGGATTTTGGGTTTTGTATGATTGATTTTCTGGATTTTGATTTTGTTTTGTGTGATTTGTTTCGAAAATTGCATTTTATTCTGTAAAATAGCTTAGATGATGCTTCAGATTGATTGGTTTCTTATTTTGTGGATTTTATCAGTGTTTAATGCTGGTCTTTTTGTTATTTAATTTTTATATCTGGGTTTATTGTGCTTTATTTCCCACTTCTGAAGTCATGTAGCTAAAGTTGAAGATGAAAATGAGAAAAAGGATATTTGAGAATACGCCTTTGTTGTGGATTTGTTTCTTGTGAACTTAAATCTTAAATTGAAGCTAGAAACACTTGTTTGATGATTGTAGTTTTTTCGAAGGTTGGTATCGACTTTGGAAAGCAGTTGCTAGGAACAAAAATTTAAATGAAGAATTCGCACCATTGTTGTTTCCTTTTTTTGTTGTATCGTACATGTCAGATCTAGAAGGCACCCTACTTGTTCGTAAACTGAATTGTTTTGATTGGTTCAGTTTAACTTTTAGTTCATTTGTCTTCTGATATTTACTTTAGATGATTCTTAAGATTCTTGACATTAATGGCTTAATCCTTTTTGTCTTCATGACTTCATCCTTTGTCGCACATGGCCTTGGTTGTGAATTCATTATTCTAATGTGGATTTCCATGCTTTGAGAGCCTTCTAGGGTTTCTACTTGATATACGTATAATTACTAATTCATTCCATGTATGATTCAGAATCTTTAGAAGTCTATTTAGGTATACGTTGCGTCTCAAAAATTAAATGGTTGTGCTTATCAATGGGTCACCTGTGGTTGTTAGTGTGCAATGCAAATGGATGATAATGAATTTCTATGTTTAAGTTGCAGAATGTATATGTTACATATTTGATCTGGGCTTTTATTGTTTGAGCATATATCAATTGGAGAACTATCTTTCAAGACATAAAATAGAAACCAATTTTGTTGCCTTTAAGGCTTTTAATAAACTTATTTCTCCCAATGATAAGCTGCATAATTGTCTCATTATAAGGTCGCGGAGATGGAAGGTATTTTGCAAGATCACCACAATGCAATGCCATCTCGGGAAGTTCTTGTAGCTCTTTCAGAGAAGTTCAGGTGTACCTTATTTCTGTATAGAGTTTAACATATTGTTTTGTTCTCTTTATTCAATTGGAATTGACATTATTAAATTTTGTATTGTAGTGAGTCCCCGGAAAGGAAGGGAAAGATCATAGTGCAAATGAAGCAGGTAAGACTATTATATTGCAGTTATGAACAGCAAAGAACAATTTAGAATCAATTCTTAATGTGGGCGGTGTATTATAGGTTTGGAATTGGTTCCAAAATAGGCGGTATGCAATAAGGGCAAAAACAGGTAAAGCTCCTGGAAAGTTAAATGTAACACCTTTGCCACGTGAGGATCCTACTCCAGTGAGAAATGTTCCTCAACCTGTAGCTGCTCCAATTCCTGCTCCTGTGCCTGCTTCCATGCCTGCTTCTGTGCCTGCTCCTTCAGGTAGAATGTGTCTGTTCTATCATTTAAGTTTTGGATCACTTCTTGCCTTTATCTTTTTCTAAGGTTTATTGTATTATAAACTTTTTACCTTTGAACTTATTTGTTGTTCAAGTATGGTATGCCTGGTATTCATTTTTAATTGAGCCTTGTTTCCTAAACTAAAGTTGCCACATAGTAGATTGTGTTCATCCCCATTGCTTATGCAATTTTATATCTTTTGGCCAGTTGCTACTGCAGGGAGAGTGGCATCAGAAAATGCTTTTATGGAATTTGAAGCTAAATCTGCAAGGGATGGTGCATGGTAAGTCTATCCTGCCTGCTTAGTTGTTTTTTGTGTATTCTCTCATCCAATTTGATAGTTATCAAACTTTGGGAGGAACTTGTCCTCTTCAATCAGTCTAATTACTTTGCTTCTCTACTCAGGTATGATGTTGCAACCTTTCTAGCCCATAGAAATTTAGAGGCAAGCGAACCGGTAAATTTTTGAGCTTGTAGCGCTGCATTTGTGAACACAGTCAAATTTATAATAATGGAGTTATTTATACCTGTTTTTCGTAGACTCTTACTTATTTTAATTATTGTTTTTTCTCTTATTTGTCCATTTATCCGTTCACATTCTCTATTTAATTATTGAAATGTTGATTAGATGCTCTTTTTCTTTTTTTTTAATTTAATTGTTATGATAATTTTCTTTTAAATAAAATTTTGTTATGTGATTGTAGTTTGCATGACTTAGAATTTTTCCAAAATCTATCATCTCAATTATAGATCCCTTTTTATGTGAGAAAGATTGGTATATGCTGGATAAGTACACGTATATTTCTTGGTTCTTTTCCACTGTTGCTAAGGCATAGAATGAACCATCAAATAATCCTCTCTGAGATTTCCAAAAATAAAATTGATATGAACATGAAGTCTTGAGCCAGAATACCTTTTTTAACTTGAGTCATTCATCAGATGCTGCTCTGAATTTATATAAAAATTCGGAAATTGGTGGACTTTTTGTGACTTCTAACACTGACATGGTAATAAAAGTTGTTTCAAATATCAGATATAGCCTTCTGCCTTTCTGCTTTTCTGATGTTAATGTTGAAATATTACTGGCTATTTCAGGAGGTACAGGTTAGGTTTGCCGGTTTTGGACCAGAGGAGGATGAGTGGGTTAACATAAAAAAGCATGTCAGGCAACGTTCTCTCCCATGCGAAGCATCTGAATGTGTTGCTGTTCTTCCTGGAGATCTCATACTCTGTTTTCAGGTCAGAAATTCTACTTGTGAAAGCAATTACAAGAGTATTTGTTCTCCTTCCCTTAGAGAAGTTACTTATAATTGGGTCTTCTTGTTAACTTCTTTAGCAAATGCTCTTATGATTTTCAGGAAGGAAAAGATCAGGCTCTATATTTTGATGCTCATGTACTTGATGCACAACGACGAAGGCATGATGTGAGAGGCTGCCGCTGTAGGTTTTTGGTGCGCTATGATCATGATCAGTCTGAGGTTTTAAGTTGTTTCTCTCTCTCTCTTTTCCCCTTTTTATCTTTAGCAAGTATATGTTTCATAATATTTTGGTGGCACTGACCGTATTAAGCTGTATTTTTTGGCCTGTCACAGGCAGGGAAATAGAAGAAAACAATTTAGCTTTCTAACAGTTTGGGGATTTTTTTTTTTTAATTTATTTCATTCCCAGGAAATTGTGCCTCTTAGAAAAGTTTGCCGTCGGCCTGAAACTGATTATAGGTTGCAACAACTTCATGCTATGAATGATTCAGGATCTGCAGACCAGCAGAAAAGTAGTTTGGATATTTCCACAGCTGGTGCTCCTAGGGTTATATGTTCCTCTGCCGAAATGATGCAGAAGCAGGGCATTGTAAATGTAGCCCCAGCGGCTGCCCCAGTATCTTTTGCTAATGTATCTGTGGCCACCCAAAGTACAATTATGGAACCCAAAAGTGCTGGAGGTAGCAGTGGTATAAATGTCAGCAACCCTGTTTTTCCATCTAGTGCTGTTTGTGCCACCGTTACAACTGCTACTCCTGGCGGCTCTGGTGGAAAAATGTAAGAAAAAGTTGTAGGTTTATTTGACAGTTCTGTCATTTTCTTTTCTTAAATGATTACAAAGAATTTTCATTTTTAGATGAGTAATATTCTGGTTAGGGTAACCTTTTGTTCAATTTATACCACTTTTTTTTTTTTCTCAACACATGACAAATGGGTAGTTTTGGTCGTGGGGTTTTGCCGGTTTGGTGATGCGGTGTTAGGTTATGCGATTTCTGCAATTTGGAATGTTAAACTTGCCACCTGGATCATCAAACCTACATTTTGAAACGTTATAACGCATATGGTTGCAAATTTCATATTTCAGATGACCAAAAATCTCATACTTGTGTGCCCCTGTGAGTGCCAGGAAGTGTATAAGGAAAAGGGAAATTTTGTATCTGAAGGACATGACCAACAGCAAATTGTGATGATGACTGAGACTAAAAATTTTTATTTTCTTACTTTTTTCATGGACATTGTAATTGTACTCTGCAGTCGAATGGACAAATATTGTGGATGTTCTAACTTACACAGGATAAAGAAATGAAAAGATTGAGATGAGAAGGCAGCCTTTTTAACTGCAATTTTTTTTTTTACTGCCTCCCATTTGTATTTCTTATTGCAGAGTTATTTAAAGCTTAAAGAAATCCTTCTCTGGTTGTGTATATTTTGTAACGTATTTGGGAGGGATGTAAAAGCCCTTGAGGTCTCTTCTCTTGAACTTGTACTGTTACTCGGATAAATACAAATATTAGTGTTAAATGATTTTTTTTTTTTTGATAAGGTAAGAATTAAATAAATGAGATAAAATCAATGTACAAAGATATGAGGGACCTAAGGGAAGTGGAAACATCTACAAAGCTACAAACAGTCAAAAAAAAAAAAAAAAAAAAAAAAAGCATTCAGACTTCTCAAAAAGCTGGGCCGAGAGTGTTAAATGATGGTTGTCCCATAAACCTCTGGATAATTGAAATGAGTTTAATTTGAATGGTTTATTAAAAGTTGGTTAAATCTAAAGGGCAACCCAGTATCTTGAAAAATATTAAAATTCCCCAATTTCGGAGAGATGTTTAATAGTTATAGAAATATTTTTTTATATGAAATAAATCCAGGTTAAAATAAACAAAAGTTAATTAGAATTTATATGGTTGTGCCACGTAGCACAAGCACCTTCTCTGCGGACAAAGCACAAACACGTCGTGCTCTCTCGGTAAACATTTCGCGGTTCTTATTCATTGCTTATATAAATTTCTTCCCAATTTCTCAACCCTACCGCTGAAACGAAGACGAACAAAACACAAGTACAAGAATGCAAGTCTTGAAAGCTCATAGGACTATTGGTATAAATGATTCGGTTAGGTCGTTACGGTTTGTTCGGTACATGGTGACGCGCTGCAGGGCCGTGGTGCTGCCGCGGTTCGGTGGGCCGGAGGTGCTGGAGATCCGGCCCGATGTGGAGGTTCCCGATCTCAAGCCTAATGAGGTTCTTGTTAGAACCAGAGCTGTCTCTATCAATCCACTTGATACAAGAGTGAGTTAGTTGAGTTTTTAAGTTAAGCGAATTATTTGGTTACTGAGGAAATATTGGAAATGGAATTAGAATTTGGTTCTTTTACTGATGAATTTAAATTGTTTAATAATTTCTAATTATTTTTGGTCAAGAGGACAATAGAGTATGGTAGAATGAAATATTTATATTTTTCTTTTTTTTTTTTAATTCAGTAGAATGTCTGAGCATTGCTATAAAAATGAAGAATTTTCGCTTCTATTGATGCTGTTGTGTATGGAAGTGCTTTTATAGGAAGCAAATTTTTTAAGTTCTTTGGCGTATTTTTCTTATAGAATGCCTAATTTTTCGTTCTAAAAAGTACTTATGAATTGATTTTAANGATTATAGAAATATTTTTTTATATGAAATAAATCCAGGTTAAAATAAACAAAAGTTAATTAGAATTTACATGGTTGCGCCACGTAGCACAACACCTTCTCTGCGGACAAAATACAAGCACGTCGTGCTCTCTCGGTAAACATTTCGCGGTTCTTATTCATTGCTTATATAAATTTCTTCCCAATTTCTCAACCCTAAAGCTGAAACGAAGGCGAACAAAACAACAAGTACAAGAATGCAAGTCTTGAAAGCTCACAGGACTATTGGTATAAATGATTCGGTTAGGTCGTTACGGTTTGTTCGGTACATGGTGACGCGCTGCAGGGCCGTGGTGCTGCCGCGGTTCGGTGGGCCGGAGGTGCTGGAGATCCGGCCCGATGTGGAGGTTCCCGATCTCAAGCCTAATGAGGTTCTTGTTAGAACCAGAGCTGTCTCTATCAATCCACTTGATACAAGAGTGAGTTAGTTGAGTTTTTAAGTTAAGCGAATTATTTGGTTACTGAGGAAATGTTGGAAATGGAATTAGAATTTGGTTCTTTTACTGATGAATTTAAATTGTTTAATAATTTCTAATTATTTTTGGTCAAGAGGACAATAGAGTATGGTAGAATGAAATATTTATATTTTTCTTTTTTTTTTTTAATTCAGTAGAATGTCTGAGCAGTGCTATAACAATGAAGAATTTTCGCTTCTATTGATGCTGTTGTGTATGGAAGTGCTTTTATAGGAAGCAAATTTTTTAAGTTCTTTTGCGTATTTTTCTTATAGAATGCCTAATTTTTCGTTCTAAAAAGTACTTATGAATTGATTTTAAAATAGTAGCTTAAGTGCATTTCTTATCTCAAAGTATCAAGTGCTTGCTTTTAAGTGCTTTTTCGATCTCAAATGCACTTCTGCTAAATACTACAAACTTAATGCTAAAGAAGTTCAACTAATTTGAAAGCAATTTTTATGGTGTTAAAAGTACCTAAGTGTTGGAAATGGTTTCTGTGAATAGATTCTCACAGTGGATTCGTATTTCTTTTACAATGTCTCTTTATGTTTTTATTATTAATCTCCATATTACTACTCGTCAAGCTTACAATCACCAAAACTAGCAAATCATGCAATAATCTAACATATACAGTCACCTTCTGGGAAAGCTGCTTTGAGTTCCAGAAGCTTGCCTGTATTGGTGCTACATATGTTTGGCTTTTCGAAAAAATTTTAACTGCAATTATAAATATTAGCTTTATATTGGCAGGTTGTTCAGGTTTTAAGGGTTTTTCCTGTTCTTTTTTTTATTTTTTATTTGAATATTTATGTTATTCAACCAGCCAATTTTAAATGGAGTTCTCTGTCTACAAAATAAGGTCATGGTGGGCTGTATGCTGAAGGTTTTATGTATGTTTTTATTTTTAACTGAAGTGCTGATCTTTGTTTGTTTCACCTGTACATGTGCTGTGGTTTTTGTTCCATGACTTCATTTGTTGTGTGTTCTGAAACTTGACTCTTCAACTTGGTAGAGAAGCTGTTTTCTAGCTTGCAGTGAGTGCATAATCTATTATGGAATTACTATTAAGAAAGCACATGCTGAGTTCAGTTTTTTGAATGAAACATCACAAGAATATTATCAGAAATAGCTATTGCTTATAAGTTGCAGAATAATTCAGTGGCAAATCTGGGAATCTCTTTGAATTAATAATTCTCTACGTATAAAAAAGATATAGATTATTTATGTTTAAACACATTTAGTGAGGTATTGGAATCATAATTTATTGAATGTTCTGAGTTCTTTGCTTTCAGATGCGATCAGGCTATGGTCGTTCCTTATTTGAACCTCTTCTACCTCTCATTTTGGGTCGTGATGTTAGTGGTGAAGTAGCGGCAACTGGAGCTTCGGTGCGGTCTCTGAGTGTAGGACAAGAAGTTTTTGGGGCATTGCATCCAACTGCTGTGAGGGGTACTTATGCTGACTATGCAGTTCTTTCAGAGGATGAACTCACTCTAAAACCTGTATCAGTTACTCACGTGGTGAGAATTACTTTATTTTTTTCTTTTGTAATTTTCAGCTGAAAAAATATTACATGTGGTCTTGATTTTGCATATATGAGGATTGGCTTTATTTTCATCTCTGTTATTTCTATCTGCTAACTTCTATATTTTCTTGTGTTAGTTGAGTGGTTTACAATTTTATGTTTGCCTTCCTCTTTAGTTTCTTTTGATCACAAAACATGACTTTAAATAGTTTCATGCTCCTATAGGAAGCAAGTGCAATTCCTTTTGCTGCGCTGACTGCATGGCGTGCTCTGAAAGGCACTGCTAGGATAACAGAGGGGTATGTTGAATTTGCAGAGACATAACTTTTTTTTCTAATAAATTCTGTTTTTTTTTTTTTTTTTTTTTTTTTAATATTCTAACTAGTAACTACTGTAATGAAGCAGTATCAACAGTTATAGTTTTCTCTGTTTTGGGATGTTTAAGTTACAACTTTTTTCATCAACATGGACTGAATTTTGTTTTGGCTTATCAATTATTTGTAATTTCCTCTTGACCTTTCTTAACACCATTCTTGATTAATGGTTCTCTTCCAATCTGTTCCCTTTTTCATTGTGAAATGCATCTGAACCTCCCAGTGGTAGTTGTTCATAAACTTTTCAGGGCTGTATATAAAAAATAATGAAGCAACTTTTTGAGGATCTATACGAGTGGTTTATGGCACAAGCCTCAGTTTAATAGCAATTTATACATGCCTTCATTATCATGGATTTATGAATGGATTTGTGTCATTTCATCTTTGTGTCTGATCTTAATAATCATCTGCTTGTTTTTTAGTATATGATGAAATATATGGTATCCCTACTTTAAGGTTTCTATATGCTTAAGGTGTATTCTTTTTATTTTTATTTTTCATTTCATGTATTTTCTTATTATTGAATCCTTTTCTCATCCCCCAGGCAAAGTTTGTTAGTTATAGGCGGTGGAGGAGCAGTAGGTTTTTCTGCAATTCAACTTTCAGTAGCTGCAGGGTGCCATGTTGCTACTACCTGTGGAAGCAAAAGTATAGAGCGAGTGCTGGCAGCTGGTGCTGAGCAAGCTGTTGACTATACTGCTGAGGTAATATGTTATCACTTGATGATTTGCTGTATTCTTCATTGACAGCTGTTTGAAATTTGTTGTGCTAGGTAGTTTATTCGAAAAGGTTTCTTTTAGTTGTACTAGTTCCTTGTAGTAACTCCCACTCACACTTGAGTTTGGGGGGTTGTTTAAGGGATTTATCAATTTCTGTATCCAGATAATTAACTTGATCTGGTTTTACTGGGCGGGGATTCAAAATTAGGTTTTCTTAATGAGCAAATGTATTTGATTCACAGGACATTGAATTGGCAATAAAGGGGAAGTTTGATGCTGTATTGGACACTATTGGTGGACCAGAGACAGAAAGATTAGGCATCAATTTTTTGAAGAGGGGTGGACATTATATGACACTTCATGTATGTGATGAAAGCTTCTTTATCAGTTTTTCTGTTTCCAGCAAAAGGGATTTTCACATGCTTCATTCTTGAATGCTTCCATATAAATGCTTAATGTTTTTATTCTCTGTTTTAGGGTGAGGCAGCATCACTGGCAGATGCATATGGACTAGCCGTTGGGCTTCCTGTTGCTACAGCTGTCTTATTGAAGAAAAGGCTTCAATACTGGTATTCACATGGAATAGGTATAGTAATTAATGTATAACACAATTCTTTAACCTAGTAACTTACTGGAAAAATGAATATTGCATATTTCTTATGGTACATAAGAAATGATGTTGATTGTTATTTCCATGTAGTTATCATATCTCATGTAGCACGTGCAAACCATTACACCTTTGAGAAATTGAACCAATGCTTTTTTATTTTATTTTTAATTTTCCAGAATATTCGTACATATATATGCGCGCTGATGCAGAAGGTCTAGATGAGATTCGCCGGCTGTCTGAAGCTGGAAAGCTGAAAATACCTGTTGACAAAACGTTTCCCATAATACAAGTGAAAGAGGCTCATGAAGCTAAAGACAAGAGACTCATTTCTGGTAAAGTGGTGCTGGAATTTGACTGACTCTAATTTCCAGAAGCTTATATACTGATGGAATCTTTCAGTTATAGATCCCATCAATTCCAGTAAGCCTTCACATTCTTGCAAGGGTTCTTTAACTCATATTCCGAAGCTCATTGCTTCATTTTTTTCACTCGTATAGCAAAGAAAATTTTGTGAGTCATAATGATCAAAATCCAGTTGAGAAACTGTAAATGTTTTAGAAGGGTTTAATCTCAAGTGGTGATGGGTAGTTGTGACAGGATAGATCTTTTGGTTGAGAACTTACCTATATTATTCAAAATCCTTTTAGAATAATCTTTTTCTTTTTTATGTAGAGTTGAACCATTTGAAGTGAGATGGAAATAGAAAACAGTTAATTGTTGTTTTGTTTGTTTTAACATTGTAATCCCTGGTGAATTGGAAAGACCAAATGGGCCAGGATGGGTAATGTGGGTTAGGCCTAGCCCAATATGACAAATTCCAAAATGCTGTAGTATTGCAGAAACTGGTGGTCCAAGCATGGCCCATCACTCATTTTCATCATATCAGTAGTAATAGCACATGCATGCTGGGTGAGGATGATACTGATTTCCTACCTAACAAATATTAGGGTTTTCCTTTACATGTCAATTAATTATTGCCAACTCAGTAAATTATTAACTGATTAGATATCATTATATTAGCATATGATATCAAATTATTAAGTTTTTAATCAAAAGCCCCAAAACCCACTTTTCTTTTGTAACATTACAGTTGTCTTTGTGCCCTAATTGGAATGCCAAAATATTCCTTCATCTCATTGTTTAAAGCATAATTAAGCAACTTTTAATACTGGTTTTGTCTCCTTCTGCCCCAAATTAAAAATGAAAATGTCTGGTCAAATCCCTCCCTTTCAAGTAACCTTGACCCATTTATTATTATTATTAATTATTTTTCCATTTCTTCATCATTTCTTCTTTGAAGTTTGGGTTTTTCTGCTTCTCTGTGTGACCCTTTTTGGCAGTCTGCTTCCATTAATTTAGATTTTAGAAGCTAATTTGACATTATGGTGTACTTACTGTACACCTCTACACAGCCTTGCTTTAACTCAGCCAATAGTGTTTTGCCATGCCTTTAAAGTAATGTGAGTCGATGATGTGGCGAGTGGGTATTGGCGAAGTTGGGATAGTTGTGGTGAGCTTGTGTACAGAGAATCAGAATTTGTTTAATGTTTATTAACTCACGCGCTTTTTGAATGCGATTCTCTATGCGATGCGTGGGAAAATAGTAACGTTAGTACTTAGCACAGGTCTCTGCCAACGAGGCATTCAGTTCCTTCAATATTTCACATACCGTCTCACTTCCAGGCGCGTGGCTCACGGTGAATGGGATCCAGTTAATACCCAATAACCTCTTCATATTTTGGAGAATGACAATGGCATCCCACATTTTCTTACATTAAAGCCCAAATAAACAATTAAGAATAAATAACATCTCTATATTATCACAAAAAATATCTGCATTTAATAGATTATATAAATCAAAATTAGGATAAAGTCTTAAAAATAAGCACATATTAATGTATGTGTACATTCGTACTATGATTGAACAAATATATATGTCTTTATTTTAGTTTATTAAAATTAATAATATAAAATATAGAATAATAATAAATTAAATTTCTAATATATTTTATTATAGGTTATGTGCAATACATCCTCTGGTCAAATTATGGTATGGCTTTTGTTTTTTTGGAGACAAACCTAGCCCAACATAATTAGACAACAAAATCCAACACATGTGCAATAGGAACCCATAGTAAGCTAACATGATTTCGATTGGTTTTAAACATTTTCTTATTTTCAATGATGTATATTAATTAATCTATATGTTACCATTAAAAAACAAGTATAAAAAATCCAGAGTTTTTTTAAACGGGCTTGAACAAATACACCAATTATATCAAATTGTACCAAAAATAAGATTATATAAGATAAAATATTAAGTTTTAGAATTTTTATTATTTAATCAAACATTTAAGGTTTTACAAGATTAAAAAATCCAATATAATTTCATCAAATCTTTTTAAATTTAAAACTTTTTTAGTTTTAAGATTGAGGGTATAATAAAATGTGTAACCATTTGAAGCCAAGGTGAAGGCCACTGGCCACCCATCATTAGTTAGAGAGTGTAAGCAGGTATTAGAAAGGCGCGTGGGTAAAAGAGGTCAAAAATCATCATTCGATTAAGCAAAAATGATGAACCTATCCCCGGGACTGTGGTCACGTGCACCTTTGGATTCTTCTCTGTGTTGGGGCATGTGATCTCTCTTTCGAAAAAAGCCCATAATTTTCAATTTAATTTCGAGAAGACCACTTTGTCTACTCACCAAAAAAAAAGGGCTACCTTGACCTTGTATTGTATGTATAAAGTTTCCATAAAGATAAGCCACGGCCCAGTCCACACGGATGCTGATTGATTTCGATATTCCAGGGAGACACAGACACTCCCATTTGCTATTGTAATATGACCTGGCCACGTTCCTTCATCTACATCTTCATCCTAATCATACCGCACGCTAATTCAGTGAACCATGGTTATTAATATCTTATTATATGATTCGGTATGGATAGCCTATCAGCGACGGATCCAGCCACTTTTGGCCCACCTCAGTTTTTATTTTTTAAATATTAATATTTGTAATTTATATATTTTGACACACCCTAACAAAAATATTAATAGATAAAAGTATTAATGTATAATTAATTTTTACTTTGGCCTACCCTAACAGAAATTTCTGGATCTATTACTGTCGTCAATGATACGTATCAAAGAGTATATATTAAATTTTTTGATACGTTGATATATATTCTACAATACGATACATATCGGTTTATATCTTTAAAAATATCGATATAAATCAATACAACTTTATTAATTTAGGTCAAAGACCTAAACAAATTTTTGGGTAGGATCTGGGTCACCCAACCCGGTTAATTAAAACCCGCTCAAATTTACCAATTTTGTATGGAGAAAGTGAAGAGGAAGATGTGTTACCCATTTTGCATGATAATAACAACACAAGTGAAGATATAGATATTGACATTGATCTTGGAAATAACATGAATGGTTGAGAGGAAATAATAAAGATTCTTAATTTTGATTATATAATACTATAATTTAAAGCCAATAATATCATAAAAATCGTTAATTAATATTGGGGATGATATTAGTTTTTAGAAATTTTTTAGTATTTTTTTTTTAAAAGACGTATCCTACAATACGATATGATATACGATTCGAAAAATTAAGTTTTTAATATATGATACAATACGTAGTTTAACAGCTATGCATTGAACTAATCACTGTTACACTTTTTTTTTTTTTTTGCTACAAATGGGAATAGATCTTCATGTCTAACATGAAACTTGCAAATTATATGTTATAACTTTACTAATAAACCATAATTCATTGTCTATAAGTCGAACTATATAAATATGCAGTCAGTCAGAATCAAACGATATTTTTTTTTATTATTATCGGGGATGTTTAAGTCAATTTACGCATATTCAAATGGTCATCTCTATTAATATTTGGAGGGATTCGAAGTCAGAAACTTATAGAACCTCCTTTTATTTTTTTATCGTTAGGCTCTACCCAGTAGCGGTTTAAGACGATAATTCTATCGTATATCAAATATAATTGAGTGAATGATAATAAACAAATGCTGTAAACGAAACATTTAAAAAAAAAAAAAAAAAAAAAAAAGGCCTCTAATAAGAAAGTGAAATTGGCATTTTGGCTCGATCAGTTCGAGAGTGATGACGAGTTGATTATTGATTCCTAAGATATTTTATTAGTTATTCATTCCCAAGATATGAGGGTGGGTTGATATTGAGTTTAAAACGAACAAGGGAGAGACGGATGAGGGTTGGCATTGTGTCTGGATCGGATGTTGAACGATGATAAACTAATTCGTTGATTGATATTAGATTAGTTTGTACATGTATATATGTTGTGGTGTTGTTGAGCAAATAGACAACAATTGAGATTTCATGTTAAGTTGGACATGTCACATGCTGAATATGTGGCCTTAGGAATGAGCAAGTGTAAATTGTGATATAATTAGAATGAACACATGGGTTTATTTATAGAATAACAATTTGAAAATTATGATATACTCTATGGTTAGTCCCACAATGTCTTTTGTTTATAATTTTACAAAACCCTTAAAAATAAAATAAAGTAATATTTAAAAGAAGGGTGAATTAAATTATTTAATTAATAATTTGGAACCAATATCCAAAATATACCCACTGGAAACACAACACAAAACAGCAAAGCCACAAAATGTTTCATGAAAACACTTTCATCTACTGCTTTATTGATTAAAAAAAGAAAAAAAAAAAAAAAAGAAAGGGTTCTCTTTTCTTTGACTTTAGCTTAACTTTATGAAAATCAAGAATTGACTAACTGAATAAAGCTTCATGTGTGCTAGTGCTAGTCTACCACAACCAAGCCACATTCATACTCATAAATTTTCTTTATTAATTGATTTTTTTTTTTTTTTTGGGTGACTGGGTGAGCATCACCTCTTTGGCATTACTAGTAAGTGATTTGGTCCACATGTGAAGCCCAAAACATTAATCAAGCAACACATGCCCTTTAACATAAATATTAAACAATATTTAAGTTACTTAAATTATGATTAATTCATTCTTAAATCTTAAACGTTTCAACGATTTTTATCTTTAAAATTATTAAATACTTTTAAAAATATTACAAAATTATTTTAAAAAAATAAGAAAAAACATTTTGAAGCAATATAAACTTTACTTAATCAGAAATATTTAATAGTTTATGAGAATTGTTTTAGCGTTTAAGATTTTACCATTTCTCAAGGACAAATAAAAATAATCCTTCTAATTATATGTAAATGTAAAGTTTTCTAGTTATATTATATATAAGTGTAAAGTTTTTATTTCCTGAATATTTTTAGTTTATAAAATGTGTTAATGGTTCTTGTATTTATTAATTCCTTGTAAAAGATATCATGGTTTTATTTTATCATAATTTTTGTTCTTATAATTCTAATAAATGAATTCCATCAATTTGCACTGACCTCTCTTAAAATTACTGGCTGCCTCCTTCATTCTTTTTTTATTTTCCAAATCAAGGTCTCTTGTAACTTGGTATAATTTTTCCAATTTAAGTGCAATTAAGTCAATATATAAATATCTTTTGAATTTCTTAAAAAAAAAAATTCAAAATTTCAAGTAAAAAACAAAGAAAATAAGCATCAATAAGAACTTGGAAAATTATGATAAAAATTGAAATATTTATCTAAAAAAGAAAAAAAGAGAAATTGAGAGATAGAGAGGAAAAGGGCAAAATTGAGACACCAATAATTCCACGTATAAAATGGAAAAACACTCAGCACACTGTACTCTCTCACTCACTCACATATTGCTAAAGACAAACTCCGTTTCTGTCATCTTCCATTGAACTCCACTACTCCAGTACTCCGCCTCTCTTTTTCTCTCTCTTTCTTCATCAATCCTCCTTCTGTACACAACCCAGTTCTCCATACGATCCAACCAAACACTTCTCCTTTTCTCTTTCTCTCTGTTAATGGCCAAATACACTCAGTAAAAAAAATCCAAAGAATGGACTCACAGCACCGCAACAACAGCACTAGTACAACTACAACTCCTACAAGCACAAGTGAGCTCTTCATTTGTTTTACTTCTCGCCTTTCCTCTTCTTCCTCCATGAAAATCACTTCTAAATCAATCTTGAGTCCCGGCCGTGCTAGAGATTCTTCCCAAATCTCCCTCTCTACTTCTCTCAGTCGGAGATTAAGAAACAGTGGTAGTATCAAAGGCGGCCAAGCTTCACCCATGTTCCCGGCTTCCAATGGCAAGAAGCGTGGCTGTTCTTTTGAGAACCCTGAACCTTCTTCTCCCAAAGTTACTTGTATCGGTCAGGTGAGAGTCAAAACCAAGAAACAAGGCAAGAAAATAAGGGCTAGATCCAAGAGTCGGAGAGAAGTTAGTTTTAGAAAACCAGACCAAACCGGTTCCATTAACAGTAGTACTTGTAATGGTGGCCATAATGTTGATGGAGGTCATTTTCAAGATTTTGGTGGTCATGGCCAAATGAGCCACTCCCACTCGTTTCAGCAGCAAGAATGCTTGCCTCATAGGAACCAAAGATGGGTTCATTTGCCGATGACAATATGCGAGGCTTTGAGGACATTTGGGGCTGAATTTAACTGCTTTTTACCGTGTAGATCTTCATGCATGGCGAGAGAGAAGGTTGAGAAAGCGAGAAGTGATAATGGCAGTGGGAGTGGGAGTACTAGCTCTTGTGGGGCGGTGTTTGCACGGTGGCTTGTGGCGGAGAAGATAGAGTTGGTAGTTGGAGAAGAAGAAGATCATCATCATCATCATCATCATCATAGACATCATGAAGATGATGATGAAGAAGAAGATGATATGCCGAGGAGGAGTCAAAGAAGGCATGTGTTTGAAGATATTGTGATAGAAGACGCGAAGTTTGAGGATAAAAATGAGATCTTGGAGGAAGAAGAAGCGAGAGTGAGTGTACCACCCAAGAATGCTTTGTTGTTGATGAGGTGTAGATCTGATCCTGTGAAGATGGCTGCTCTTGCTAATCGGTTTTGGGAATGTCCACCTCAAGATGAAGCTGAGGATGAAGAAAATGAAGACAATAAAGACAATAAAGGTGAGAAAGAGACTCAGCAAGATGGTGATAAAGATTGTAGAGTAAAAGTGGAGGAAGAAGTAATGGAGCAGAGAAAAGAAGTATTGGCTTGTGAAAGTTTGGTTTCTGTTGAAGTTATTGAAGAAGATCAAATGATTCAAAATCAAATCCCGGATGCAGAAGCAGTGAAAGAAGCTGACTTGGTTTTGGATAGAGAAGAAGAGGAACAAGAAAGCGAAGAAATTTGTGAAGTAGAAGGAGATTTACAGAGGCAAGAAGAAGAAGAAGAAGAGAAACAAGTACTCCCGCAGCCAGTAATAATATTAGAAGAAGAGGAAAGTGTTGAAATTGCAGATCCAGAAAAGGAAGAAAATGCAAATGCTGAGCTACTTCAAGAAAATGAACATGTTCTTGTAGAATATGAAGCTGAACCAGCTCTAGAAGAAGATGAAATAAAACATGAATTTTTTGACGCCATTGAAGAGTCAAGACCTCGCCTTTCTTGTTCCTCTGTGGCGTCAGTTCAGCCACAACGCCTTTCTTGTTCCTCTGTGGCATCACTACACACACAACCAGAACAAGAGGAAGCTGAAGAGTTAGAAGAGAAAGAGCCATTGGAGAAGATCTTGCTAGAAGAGGAGGAAGAAGAAGAAGAATCAGTGAAGACGTCGGAGGATATAGCCGAACCCGAAGACCCGGAAATCACCCAAGAACCAGAAACGGGTCAAGAGTCAAAGGAGAAAGGAGGTCAAAAGCAACAAAATTTATTGCCAGATTGTTTGTTGTTAATGATGTGTGAACCGAAGCTATCCATGGAGGTATCCAAAGAGACATGGGTCTGTAGTACGGACTTCATCAGATGGGACAGAAAACCGCCGATCCAACCAGTCAACAAAACAGATGGCTGTGATGAGCTCAAGAGGAGAATCAGCATCGACTCTAAACCTCCGCAGCTGCACAACATCAACCAACAGTTAATGCAGCCGCCGAGGTCATCCTGCTCTTTCCCGGCGGCTCCTCCTTTGCCGCCGACTCACGGCGCGGCGTCGATGAACTCTCAGATAGAGCAGAAGCTGGCGGGAGCCAAGCAGCCTTACGAGCCATTTGTACTAACACGCTGCAAGTCGGAGCCGATGAGGTCGTCGGCTAAGTTTGCCCCGGAGGCTTGTTTTTGGAAGAATAGAAAGCTCGAGCCGCATCGCCCCGGCACAGTCGGGGTCGGCGCCGCTGGAGTCGGGTTTTAAGCCGGGTTAATAAAGGATATGGATAAAAAATTACGGGTCAGTTTGTATTGTAATGGATAATGTTTAGGGCTTTTCACTAGTACTATTCTTGCTTGTTTGTAAATCTTTTTATCTAGTGATTTTTAACCAATTTTTTTCCCTCTTCCTTTGCTATTTATTTTTAATTTTAACCTTAAATTTTTTTGAGAAATTATTAGAAATTTGATAATATAACGTGGGAAGAATTGAAAGGTTAGTTAACATGATTAGATAGTTGAATTATTAAAGGGGTTTTGATTTTGGAGTTTTGTTAAGGTTGGTTGAAGGCATCATCTTTTTGTCTTGAAATAATTTAGGTTAGGAATGTGATCTTTTCAATTATGACATTACCATTGCCCTACTGGTTTGGTCATGTTTACCAATCAATAATCAATTGAAGCTAAAGCAGGCTGCTTAAATGGAACATCTATTGATGAAATTTGGTTCATGATTGTGAAACCCAATAATGAGGAAGAAATGAAAAATTTGGGAATTGGAATGTGCCCTTTTGCAGAACTTGGTGCCTTGGTACTCAAATAGTCACAAAATTTCAAGGCCAGGATGTTCTTTTGCAGTTGCAGAGGTTTTTAATTTACACAGAAACTCAAAGCTTTTCAGGGCCATGACCCATGACTTCCTCTGTCTAGTAGTCATCCATTTGCTCAAACTGTTGTATCTTTGATTACTTTTGAGGTAGGGGGGTAAGGGCAAAGTTAAAAGGTGAAAACCAAAAAGAAGCAAAAGCAAAAACTGTGAATCAAGGAGGTTGGTGAGGGTATAGACTACAGTGAGTGTGGCAGGTTTTCTTTTGTCTCCTTTTACATGTGGGTGGTGCTTGTGCATGACAGCTTAACCCTAATAATACAATTGATGGATGGAATAATGTTGATTCTTGGAGTTTGAAGTTACAGCTTCAAGAGATCACCAGGGAATTCTTGGAGGTATAGATGCTTCATCCATTCTTTCATACCATCTTTTAGCATATGAAAGTGCATTTGTTATGCTTCTTCTGAAAAAAGAAAAGGAGAAAGTAATCTGGTGTTTATAAAACGCAAAAGAGAGTTTGGAAGTGTTTTCTTAAAGCAATATTTTGAAATGAAAACAACAAAAGCATGTCATGTAAGAAAGTGTTTAAAAACATTTTCTAAAAAATGAAAACAATAGAAACACAGCTAACATGGGGAATCGAAAATGAAACACATCATTTTCTTTTTAAAGGATTTTAAGATTCATATCAAAAACCAAAAACACAGTATTTTCATTCTTCAAAAACCTTTAACAACAGTGGTCCTGAGCTATACTGAAGAACAACTGAACAAGTGTTTGAATGGTAGCTAGACTAGTTTTGGCATAATGTATTTTCATTGAACAACGCACAAGTGGGGAGAAAATTTAAGATGCCTATCTAGTTTTATGTCAGAGTTTGTTTTGGGGCCAGGCTCTATTTTGGGGACTCAAAGAGTCCAATCAGTTTTTCTAATGGGAATTCCTTGCAAGTTGGGTATGTTTTTTTACAATGAAAGCTACAATGAGGGAATCAGGGAACCAAATGTTTCCATATGATCTAATGACCATATAGACCAGAATGTGAAAGTTCATATCATAACTAGAATTTTGACCTAGAGAAGTTAAAAACCTTTGACTGATAAATTGGAGGCTTATTACCAACAAGCGATTGCAGAGTCTGAACTGTTCACACCTATCTTAGTCGTAAAAGCAACTGCATTGTACATAAGCAACTAAAAAATACAAAAGATGCTGATATATTTGTAAGTCCAAGTTGAAATGTAAGGAACAGTTAGCTCAACTGTAAGTATATGCTGGTTTCTTGTAATGCAATTGGGAATATTTTAGTAGAAACTGCTTTTAGACTATCTATTGTGATTCAATGCTGTAAAGTAATATTTTATTGAACTACAAGACATTTTTCAAAGTGAAAGAAGTTGGAACTTCAGATCAGAACTTTTTTATCACAGGCCTATACGCCACAGCAAATATATATTTATTGTTTTGGCAAATGGGTTGAATACTTGGGCTTAATTAAATGTATAACAGTTGTTGACAATGAAAATTAATGCATACCAACATGAAAGTTGCCATTCCAGGTCATCATCAACTGCTCCCACAAGAGATAATGTTAGAGCCCTTTTCATTTTACCAAATCCACTTCGAAGTTCATTGTTTGATTAGACTTTTATGATTATTGACATCTTGATCAAAGATTTGACTGACCTGCAATCTGGTGTAGTTGTGAAAGGGAGAAAGAGAATGGTTTGGAGGAAGGAATACCTGGATGTAGCCTTAGTCCCAAGTGGGTTGCTAATCATGCTTTGTTATCATCTCTACCTTCTCTACAGATGCCTAAAATTTCCTGAGAAGACGGCCATTGGCTATGAGAATCACTGCAGAAAAGCTTGGGTTGAAAAAACGGTGCAGGTAAGGCATTCCACCTTATCTCATACATTTACTAAAACTACATAGAAATTTAGCTTAATCATCTATGCAATCAAATCTGTTTTTTAGCAGCTTGAGGCTAAGGATAGAGGTTTTGCACTAGGAGTAATCAATGGTACAATTTCAGCATCAACTTTCCTGGCTTCAATATCTCTAGCTCTGAGCTCTCTGATTGGGGCATGGATGGGTAGCTCTTCTCATAACATCTTCACAAGTATTTTTATCTATGGCGATACAAGTTCATCCATCGTCTCTATTAAATATATCAGCCTTCTTATTTGCTTCCTGTTGGCTTTTGGTTCTTTTCTTCAATGTGTAAGATGTTTTGTCCATGCAAATTTCCTTATCAGCATGCCAAACACAGATATTCCTTTGAAGTATGCGCAGAAGGCGGTGATAAGAGGAAGTGTTTACTGGTCAGTTGGATTGCGAGCAATCTACTTTGCCACTACTTTGCTAATGTGGATTTTTGGTCCAATACCAATGTTTGCAGCTTCAGTAACTATGGTGATTGTTCTGCACATTCTTGACTCAAATTCGAATCCGTTGCATCTATTTGAACCTGCCAAGACTCCTAACCTGTTCAAGAGGATTGGTGAGGAAGTGAATGCAGTTGCAAGGGTTCTTGAACTCCAAGAGAGAGCGCAAGGTAATGGAAGCAAAACTCCAGATGATCAGCAATGATAATCACCTTCAAGAATATTCAAGGATACAAAAAGTTAGAATTTTAACATCTCCATGAATTCAAAAAGCAAGAAAGCTAGACATTAGAAAATAGCTCATTCCCAGAAGTGAATTAAAATCCAGATGCACTCACCAATTTTTGGCTCAGATTCCTCTGCAAATTCTCAGGTCCTTCATAAATAATTTTGCAGTCAATAGGTTATCGGTTGACGATGTGTGCAAGCGAACCATTCTAGGAACAAATGAACCAAATTCCTCGAGCACCAAGTCAATGACATGATATCTGGAGGATGTACTTTCAATTTTTTTATTTTTTTTATTTTTTTTTGTGTTTGGGGTTTAAGCAGTTTTAACCAAAGCCGATATTATTCGTAGTTGTCTCCAGGGCATATCATGCTATAAACCAAACCATTTTCTATAATTATATGCTAACAATTGCATAGAGATGAAGTGCAATGAGATCAACAGAAAAGTTCATATATGAAATGAGATAAAACAGAAAAAAATAATTTCATTCATTTTTCTTTTGTACAAAAGAGTACAGAAAAATCTCTCTTCCAAATCGCTTTTGGTTTCCCATCTTTTATTGTGTATTATCTGAACTTTGATCCTCCTTGCTGCTATTTAATTCTGTGGAACTCTCAGCTGTTGAATTCAGTGAGCCTGATACCTGTTCACCTTTATTCTCTGTATCTTTGCCACCAGAATCTTCCGTTAAGGAATTAATGGTAAGCTGGCCGCTATAAAGGAGCAAACCAATAGAGTTGATGCCAAAAACAAATGTTGCAAGGTAGCATAATCCATTTATGATTGTCCTAAAAATTAAGATACAAAATTAGTAATTGTATCAAGACAATAAGGATTCATGACTATATTAGATGCATTTTACAGTTAAGTTTGCTGGAGAAAAGTAGTACTGAGAGCTACCTTATGGTTATTGTTATCTGCCGCACCTGAAAAGCATGGATACAAAATTAGTAAAATGGATGATGCTATCTGAAAGAGTTCTGATAATGCATCAAGCTCAAACTCTTGATAAGCAGGAAGGCAATAAAAACAAACTGGAAATGTACTGCTAAAAACACTGCATTTTTCAATTGAAATAATTCAATATTAATATTTCTAAAACCTAGTCATCATAAAAGAAAGGAAAAATATCAAAGCCAATGGTGGAAGGAATCATTCCGCATAAGTATAAAAAGAGAACGCTGAAGAACAAACCGAGAAATTATCTGAAATTGTCTGGCGGTTGAGAGCTGCCTCAATAGTTGTAGTGAACTTATAAAGGATGAGGGCAATAACACCAGCTGTTAATCCACCCAACAACGCCTGAACAGGTGAAGGTGGGGACTCAGCTTCAACTGAAGCTGATCCCAACGCTTTCAAGTTATCTAATGCCTCCTCCTTCAATGATTTCTTCGCCCCTGAAGACCTAAATTTCTAGACCCAGAAACACCTCTCAAAATCCAAATCAAGTTATACTAACACATAAGGAAATGTAAAAAGAGCAATTTAATCTGGTCAGACGAACTATGAATCAAGATATGATCGAACATGAAGATGTAGACATGTAGCATTCAACAGAAAAAGTAAAATCAGTAAACATAAAACACCAGAACATGTTTAACTAAACTGTAGCAAAACAACAGATATACATGTAAAAATTGGCAGGAATATTTAAATATGGAGAAAATAACAAATGTTATGAATTCATCAATCTGACAATCTCCAAACTAGATTAAACAAAACAAAATTTCTCATATATAGAATAAAATAACACAAAAAATCCTAAACTGATAAGACAGAAACCAATTCATCAACTATTATTACAGAGCATATCCATAATTCAGAGCCAACACTAAATAAATTCATCACATTGCACAAAAATTATGACAACAACTGGATACTTAAAAGAAAACAAGACAAAAAAGACTAAACTTCACTAAGTTAATGAATGATACCAGTTCTTTAGAACGTTTAGCTCGGCGTCTAAGAGAGCGAAAGAGGAAGACAGAGATGGCACCAGTGAGAAGAACACTGGTGGCCACTTGGAGAGGAGAAGGGTCATCAGAGGTTGCAAAAATGGATTGAGTTAGCTCGATGGGACCCTCTTCAGGGGGTGGAGAAGTTGTAATGGTGGTGGGTTCTTGGACCTGGGCGAGACATGGCTCGATTCTGGGTCCGGGTTTGGGCAGTACTGGAAGAGAAGTGGCGGGTTTGAATAGAAAGTATGGTTTCTGAGGATGGCGAGAGAGAGAGAAAGGGAATGAGGAAGAGAGAAAATGATGGGCTTGCAACATTTTAGTTCAGTCTTTCAGAGGTTGTGTTTGCTTAGCACAAATGGAGTAAAGCCATTGAAAATGTTCAGATTTTTGGTGGGGTTTTGAGAAAATATCTCTAGCTACGGATAAAGAACAAAATTTGGTATTTTAAAAGAAGAAAGGGATTTGAGAAATTAATAGTGAATTATTATTATTATTATTATTTTTGTATTAAAAAAATCAATGAAGAAAGAAACCTTATTCATCACCAGGCTAATCCTTTGGGGTTATATTACATTTTTTTTTTATAGTTTTAAAATTTTGAATACTAATTTCTAATTAAGATAAAATATGCAAAACTCTTATCAATTCCTTGATCCAGGAGTTTAACAAATATATTGGTCAACCAAAATACCTGCCATTAGGCTTATCTTGGTTTGATTTGGTTCTTTTCTTCAACGTGAAGATTAAAGAATAATATTTTGCAGAGCTTTTTGGGTGCATAAGCAGCTTTCAGTTGAAACATATCTGCGGCAGTTGTAATTTATATAAAGTCATGATCTACAATCGATTTATCAAATAAATATTCCTTGTCATATGACACTCTCATATGATAGGTGAGAAGTGCTTTAATTTTATAATTGAAATATGTTTAAAGGTTTGTCTTACATTAATTACCAAAAGTTTCAAGATTGATCTTTGCGATAGCAACAATCAAAGTAGTGAAATGAAATGTGTCTTCTTCTGCAGATAAATGGTGGTATAAAAGCAGAGTGCTCACTAGATTGAAATACAAAATATGTGCAGAAGAAAGAATCAATTTATTCTGATTTTGCAATTCCATTTTTACAATAAAAATACATGGTTATTTGTGAACAAATCAAAGTTACATTAGTGCCCAGTAAAGTTCATCCAGTATTAATTTGAACCTGAAAAAGGAAGAAGATTGGCAGAAATTTATACCTCCCGGACTCCTTTTGGCAATTCCTTAAAATCTCTACATTTCTGATCCCAAATTAGATACATCCAAAAGAAAAAGAATCTCAGGAATTGCAAGACCAAAAAATTTGATTAGCAGAGAGAAGTTATATCTATTTTAATGTCAAATTGATCAGATGTAAAGTTATTAACACTCTTGCACACGAACATTAGATGCCACAGTTTTAGCCCAGAACTTGATTTGTGTCTTCATGTCTTCTGCAGAATTTTTGGATACCCAATTCGGAACTGGAGGAGGTGCACAGCTTTGTACAAGCCATGCCTCTGACAAATAAGGCTTCCTCATCTTATTATCTTCTTCATCCAATTCTTCTTTCTTCTTCTCTTGCAAACCAGGAAGAATGTCGGCCACACTTGGGGTTAAGTTCTTTTTGTCAAATGTGAATCCCAAGTCCTTGAAACCTTGAACTTCTTCGGATTCAAGAGCACTCAGGCTCTTTCTCATCTTCCCTTGGTTCAGGCTGTATCGCCTGTTCATTTCCTTGATGCCAGTTGTGTTATTATGGCTCTCCAAATCCAAGTTTCTTGGTGGTCTGTACCTCGGAATGTCATAAGTTCGTGTCATTCCCTGCAATTGAAGTAAAAATGTTCAGCTCATCATACTCAAATAATTCCACTTAACAGTTTAAGAATGAAACTATAGTGTTACCTTTGAAGAATGTTGATTCTGCAAGAAGTCTGAAGAATTGGCAAAAGCCTGTTGAATCAATCTACTCATTCTGGCATCACTCTCTTTGTCTTGGTAGATGTCTTCTGATCTTCCAAAATCAGGTGGTAAAGAAGGAGTCCTTAGCAAATTTCTCCGAGAAGATTGTCCCGTGTTCATCACTTTGTTCCTAGTTGCAGCACTCGATCTCTGCTCTTGGGTTACTTCCTTCTTCGCTACACAACTTGGTTTCGCTGCTTGAAGCAAACCTTGATGTGATGATTGTCTAGTCAATTTACTTCTCCCATTATTCCTTTCTTTCTCTTGAACATTATTTTCTTCTTTCCTCCCTATACAAGGCGGCAAAGATGGTGCACGAATCAGCTTATTAGAACGAACAACACCAACTTCAGGGAGCTTCTCTGTTGATGAACTAGAAGTACTTCCTTCAAATTGATTAAAATTTGAGGAAGTACAAGGATCAGAATGACATCTCACCATTGTTGTTCTTCTTTTGAGTAAGTTGTCAAAGAACCAAAACTCTTCTAAAAGATCAACCGCATCCACCTTTTCATCAATAGCCTCCATGACTATAACAAACACACACTCCAATCAAATCAATTCAATATTAACGTAATTTTCTGATCTTTTCACTGTGTTATTTAATGAAAGATGGTGATGGGATTGACTTGGGGAGGCCATGTGAGACATGACACCATGTGCTTCAAGCTGAATCGACTCAATATTTTATGCAGATAGGGGAGTAAGTGAAGGTGTTTGATGGGTAGAATTTAATTTAAACAACCAAGAATTATAGGGATAGTTAATAGCTTGTATCAAAGACAGAGTCATGCCAGCCCACAGCCCATGTGAGGACTCATTTGTTTATGTAACAGATATATTTTTGTTTATTATTTTCTTCTCTCCATTATTTGACAGCTAAGGTTATAGGTATTAAAAAATTGCCCAAACAGCCAAATGGGGGTGTTTTTCATCTGATGTTATAGGAGTCACTTTGGCTAAAGACTCAATCCATTCATGGGGTTGACAGTGCGGCGGCCACGCAATCATGTGGCAGGGACAATTTTGTTTTATTGTGGACCGCTATACTTCTAATCTAACGCATAAGGTTGAATTCATGTAGAAAATTCTTTTCTTGTTATGTTACTGGTGCACTGTAACATTGCCAGCGAAAGCAAACCCTTCTTGTTCATTGAGTTTTGAGTCCAATGGGCTTCACTCAGTTCACCCATCTCATTTATTTAGATCCCCACTTATTTATCTATTTCTACTCTAAAACTTCTATTTATTCCTTTTTATTACGATATTGCCACCATATTAAATGCATGTAGAGTAGAGGTGTTGTCTAGCAAAAGAATGAACCTTAAACATGTTATGTACCCATTATCAAATGGTAAATGTTAATTAAATTGTTTTTTAAATATCTTTTAGGAGTTTTCTTATGGAATTTAAATAAAAATATATTAGAATATGGTTAGGTTTTATTTTAGTTGATTTGTATTAGATGTTTATTTGTTTTTATCTCTGCGTTTATCTTCATTATAAATAGTTTTAATTGGATAAAAAGAAGGGGTTAGTGAATTAAAATAATTTTTGTTTCATTATAAATAGTTTTAATTGGGTCAATAGAATGGGTTAGTGAATTAAAATAAAAAACTTAAGACATGTTTTACCAAACTACTATTAATACAATTTTTTCTTTTTTTTAATAGAAACTCATCCATATAAACTGATGTGAAATGTTAATAATTTGGATAATAATATTATATTGATAAACGAATCTTATAAATTTTCTCTCACGAACCCAATGTGGCAGTTGGTAATTGGGTTTTTGTGAATTTTTCAATTTAGTGAATTCATCACAAACCAATTATCAGCTATCACGTTGAGATTATAAGAAAAAATTTGTAAGATTCGTTTGTGAGAATATATTTATTATAAAAATTATTGTTAATACGAAATGTCATCCAGATTTAACAAATCCAATCCTATCAATACAACTAACTTATCTTCCCAGCCAGCCAAAATGTAGGCTGATTTTTTTCGATTCTTTCCGCTCTTTAATCAAAAGTTCGTTTCCCTCTGTATAATCTCTTGAAATTCTTGAAATTAATCTTCTCTCTCTTCTCAAATGTCCTGTTACTTTAAATGGTCACGATCTAACCATTCCTCTTCACTTCTCCGCTACAACTTCAACCAATTCACTGCTCAAGTACTAGACAACATAAAGAATCACGTTCTTGTCCTATATATTTAGGATCCATTATTGATTATCTCTATACAACTTCAAGATCCTTCAACAGTGGCAAAATGAGTGAGTCCAAGCCCTCAAATTTTCACATCGTCATGTTTCCATGGTTTGCTTTTGGTCACTTCACTCCATTTCTTCATCTCTCCAACAAGCTCGCTGAAAAAGGCCATACAATCACTTTCTTGCTGCCCGCAAAAGCTCAAAAAGACCTTCAACATCTTAATCTCCACCCTAATCTCATCACCCTCCATCCCCTTACTATTCCTCACGTTGATGGCCTGCCTTCCGGCGCCGCAACAGCTTCGGATATACCCCTCTCCTTAGGCCATCTCCTCGTTATTGCCATGGACCGGACCCGTGACCAGGTCGAACTTGTGATCAAACACACAAAACCGAAGCTGGTTTTTTATGATTTTTCTTATTGGCTTCCCAAGATAACTAAACCTCTTGGCATTAAAACGATTAACTACAGTATCGTTTCTGCAGCATCTATCGCACTTGCTCTTGTCCCTGACCGTAATGTGCAGAAGGACAAGCCTATTACAGAAGCTGAATTACAGGTGCCACCCAAAGGATATCCATCAACGAGTGTAGTGATGCGTCGCCATGAAGCACGTGCGTTATCCTTTATTTCTTTCCCGTTTGGGGAAGGCGTATCGTTCTACGAAAGAATCACTACCTCCATGAAAGAATGCGACGTGATTTCGATAAGAACATGCCATGAAATCGAGGGAAAGTTTTGTGATTACTTGGGTAGTCAGTATAACAAGCCCCTTTTTTTAACGGGTCCTGTCTTACCTGAACCCGCCAAGACTCCATTGGAGGACAGATGGGCTAAGTGGCTTGGCGGGTTTCAACCCGGTTCTGTGGTGTATTGTGCATTTGGGAGCCAAAACATCCTGGAAAAGGAGCAGTTTCAAGAACTTTTGTTAGGGTTTGAGTTAACAGGTTTGCCATTTCTCATAGCTTTAAGACCACCAATCGGTGCATCGACAGTTGAAGAAGCGTTTCCAGAGGGATTTGAAGAGAGAACCAAGGGGAGAGGAGTGGTTTCGCGCGGCTGGGTTCAACAGCAATCGATCCTGGCTCATCCATCAGTAGGATGTTTTGTGAGTCACTGTGGATTCGGATCCATGTGGGAGTCATTGATGAGCGATTGCCAGATTGTTTTGGTGCCACAGTTGGGTGACCAAATCCTGAACACAAGGTTAATGGCGGAAGAGCTGAAAGTCGGTGTGGAGGTTGAGAGAGAAGAGAATGGCTGGTTTTCAAAAGAGAATTTGTGTAAAGCCATTATGTCTGTGATGGAAAAAGATAGCGAGGTGGGTAATCTAGTGAGAAAGAATCATGCGAAATGGAAGAATTCATTGGTGAATCCAGAGTTCATGAAGGGTTACACTGATAAGTTTGCCAAAGATATACAAGAGCTTGTCAATAAGTGAAAAACATTTCATATTCCAGTAACAAGGAGAAAACCTTACGTGAGATCATCTCACCACCCAATAAAAACTTACAGTCTACCATATGTTATGAGTTATCACTAAATAAAAAATTTAATTCTTTTAATATCATTTATTTTTCTCTGTTTTCCATGATTGACAAAATAGGGTTTCTATCTCTATCCTCTTTGTCTTTAATTGCCTATTAGTTTACTGTTCTCAGCTAATTTTTCATGTTCGCCAGTTGCGATCCTCCTCCCCCGTCCAGTTGCCAACGGTCGGAAACTCGCCGGTCAATTCCAATCTTTCTTAAATGAGACATTTGTTTTATTTGTTGGAGTTTATCAATAAGATATCATATCAAGTGGTTTAAAATTTAAATATAAAAAAATCCAGATCTAAACTGGTGTGAAGGAGTTCAATTTATAGTTTAATTATTGGAAAACATTTAATAATATTTTGAGATATGTGTTTAAACACTAAAAGATAAGTTATATACTAGTTCTAATGTAGTGTTTCTTTTGTTTTATGATTTTTAACAGCAAACGAGATGTTTTGAGATATGTGTTTGAACACTAAAAGCTATAATGATAGTTGTTGGGTAGTTATTCATAGACTATAAAGAGATAATCTAACAAATGTTTGATAACTCATATAATTATATTATTGGATGATTTCACCACGCTAATGAGGTGATGAGACTGTTTCATATAAGTATTTTTGGATTTAAGTATTTCTTGATCATAAAATATGTATCAAAAATATTATAATTCTTATCTTGTAAGATATTATAATTCTTGTCTTAGATAATGAAGTTGGTATTTATGTGTTTAATAGGGTATTTTTATAGATTAGTCATTTTAATATTTAAAAAATAAGTAATATGAAAATTTTGTTTATAGGACAAAAACAATAGTAAAAGAGGGAAGTGATTTTATTGCTCTTAATAAAAATGTCATTAATCTATTCTCTAAGATGTGCAATACCCTACAGGTTAAACTATATAGTTTGACATCTAACAAACTGATTAAATATTAAATAACACTAGACTAATATGTAGTCTAGTATTTATGAGGGATGAAAATGTATTTCGGATATTTTTCATTAAAAATAATAAAATTTTGATGTTTATCTTTAGGGTTATTTTTATCCTTCGAACAAGATTTTGATGTTTTTGTCTTTTACAATATATTGAGATGATTATAATTTATAGGATAATTTCTTTGTGTAATATCTATATTTGTTCTTTTTCCCCTCTATGATCAAAACATCATTAATTGTGTTTCTCACAAATATCAATTCATTAACTTAACATAGATAACCTCGTTTATGTCTTTTAAGTTTTATGTATTTTAGTTTAAATACTAAAAATATAATTAACTAATAGTTGTATTTATAAAATTAAATAATAGTTATATTTATTTAATATTTTAATATATATAGTTAACTAATGATACATCAAAATTTTCGGTGATACCACTGACACAAAAATGATCGATTGTTGATTTAGCCGTTGTGTGATACCACTGTACTAATTATTGGAGAGAATCCAATGCAATTTTGGGCTAGAGAGAGCATGATTATAAACATTAGCTAAGCTAGTTATCAACTTATGAGTTAGGGTTAGGGGCTTTCTTAATGCCATTAGCTACTTGGAAGTTGGAAATGCTAAGTCAATATTTTATATATGAGGGTAATTAAGACATTTTCTCGGGTTGACATATATGTTTAGGTATCTGTCAATTGCTTTTTAATGTGAGAAATTAATTGCGTGTTCTGGAAAAAACATAGGAGGTTAGGTAATTTTGCCGAACCTCAAAAGGATAGGCCTATTTTTAATTACAATCACTTTAAATTAGAATAACACGGTCCATTAATGCGAATTGGTTGCATTTGCAACAATAATAGGCCTATTTTTTAATTCATTTATCTCTTTAATTTAAAGTGATACTAACCTTAAAAAGAGACATACAAAGACTCATACAAAGAGTCAAATCCAATCCTTGAAAGAAGAAAAAAAAAGAGATTCAAGGACTGGATTTGACTCTTTCTATGGGTCTTTGTATGCCTCTTTGTAAGACTAGTATTACTCTTTAATTTAATCAATTATGATTTTATTATTAAAATAATTAAACTTTTAAAAAAGTTATAATATATGTTATAAAGTTTATTTTTTAAAGTTGCAATGGCTGCGTTTCTTTGGCTATTTTCAAAATACTCTATTTCTAATTTTAAAAAAATTCATGTTTGTTTCTCTATTTTTAAAATCATACCCTATAATATTCAACTATTTTAAATCCCCATAGGTTTGTTAATTTAACTAAATACCCTCAACAATTTTTTTTTTTTATAAATTGATAAAAACACCCCCATCCACCCACATTTGTCAGATTCTAGCAACTACTATCGGAAATTGACCTAAATCTGGCATAATGGTGTACTACCAGCTGGATCTAGCTAGTAGTGCGTCGATTTGACATTTTTCGACCAGATCCATGGCCAAAGATCTAGCCGTTGACGACTAGATCTTTGGCCACATCTGGTCGTCAATGACGACTATTCGACTAATATATGGCCGTCGTTGACCGTCAACAATGATCATATCTTTGGTCGTCATTGATGGCCAGATGTGGCTATTAAGGCCAAACCGATCGTAGATCTGATATTTTCTAACAAATCTGTGGTAGATCTAGTCGGAAAAGGACATAGCGACGCACGATCGGCCAGACTTTGGCCGGTCATGTGCAATGAAACAAGATTTTTGCCAGATACCAACGGTGGTGGCCGGAATCTAGTAATTGTGGGAGAGTGAGGGTATTTTTATTAATTTATAAACTTCTTATTATTAGCGGTGTTTAGCTAAATTAATAAATATAAGAGTTTTTTTTGTTAATTTTTAAATCATATCTAGTAATAATAACTCAATTCAATATAATAATAATATTTTAAAAATACTTTTCAAAATAATAAAACGAGCGCACCCAATACTTTTAAACTCACGTTGCTGGGATCGCCTTTGGTGTTTTAGTAAATGGAGCTTGTGCATCGACCAAAATAAACGCCAAATCTATCTATCTTCCAGTAAAAAAAAATCTAAAATGCAACGCGGATACGATGTCATCTTTACCACATTCTAGTGAATTTATGCCACCTCTGACTATCTTTAAATTTGTTATGATTTGTAGTTATTAATTGTTCAGTTGGCACCCTCGAAAACATTACCCAAAGGTGTCATTGGAGTTGAAATATGACAATAGTGAAAAACAATCAATGTTAACAATGGTTTAGTGAAATCATTTTTTTATTTGGCATTGAGCTAAGTTGTCATTATATTTTTTCTTAGAAAACTATGATGTTGAGCTAAATTAAGCTCTTAGCCGTAAAGATTAACCTTTTTACTGTTAGATTGTTGAGGATAGGATAAGTATCTGATACGAAGGCAAATGTTAGGGGAAGTCTTTGTGTTATTTTTGACATGTGAGGCTTTACCCTATATTTAGGGCGGGAGGGTAAGTCTTTGTGTTATTTTTGACACGTGGGGATTGGCCTATTTCTAGGATAGGTTCACGGTTGTTGTAATATATCCCATAATCATTTATTCCATAAGTTATTCAGTGTTTTAAAACTCAGACTGGATCGGCCAGTTCAACTGGGAATCAGACACTTATCTGGTCCGAGAACATCCTAAACTTGATTATAGCAGTTGGACTGGATTGACTTGGGTTTGAACCGACAAAACAGTGTCGAATCGCTAGTTCAACCATCAGGCCAGAGAATCGGTGGTCGACGACAACTGCTACAGGTGGGTTGAGGAGGATGACGTTTGAAGCTATGACGGGTTGAGGTGAAGAGGAAGGCTAAAGCTGGTGTTGGAATCAATGATCGTCCGTGATGACAGCTGCGTGATCACAAGGTGGGCTGTGCAACCTGTGTTGATTAGTTGGAAATCGATGAAAAAGGAGGAGGGAAAGTATTTAGGCGGTGTCTGGAGGGTTGGGAAAAACAGGTGGGCTCTGAAAACGACCAAAAAAAGGTTGAGAGTAGTCGCACGAATTCAAAGCGACTGAAAAAACTTCTGTTGTGGCGAATGCGGTGTTTTTTGGTGGATTAGGGTTTTTGTGGTGGCCTGGTGGTGGGTTGTTTGACATTGGGCTGATCTTGGGTGGATTGTTGTTGCAGCGGCTAGGGTTTCTTGGCCAGATTATAGGGGTGTGTTTGTTGGATTTCAAACTTGTAAGGATTGATGCGTAATTTTTCAGGAGTGTGTTTGTTGGATTTCAAACCTACTGGATATGCTGACGTCACTAGTCCGACCAATCGGTCCAACTAGTCAGATCGGTTGACTCGAGAATCGACCCCTTGATCGGGTTAAGGCTCAGGTCGGGTTTAAAAACATTTAAGTTATCATCTCCATGTGTTTGATAGACACATCTCAAAAGTGACTATAAGAGAAGTAGTTATGTAACAATCTATTTTATAAAAGCACTCCAAAAGTAGGTTTTTGTAGCTTTTAAAATTTAAAAGTTGCTTTTGAAAGTCAATTACAAAAATATCCTTTCATATATAAAAAATAAATTTAAACAAACATTTAATTAATTAAATAAGTTTAATAATTTATTTATAAATTTAAAAATATTAAAATGGTAGGAGGTTGCCGGTCAGGTCAACAATCGGTCAATATTTATAAATACTTATTTTAATAATAAAAAAGCTGTTTTGGTCTTTTTACATGTGTCATATATAGGGGTGAGCAGTTCCGGGCACCCTGTATTTTCAAGGGAACCGGAATGAAACCACACAGTGCAGTTCCCAAAAAAAGGAACCGAAATCAGAATCGCACAGTGCAGGTTCTTAAATTCAATGAACCAGAACCTAAAATGCAGTTTCCGGTTCCTTTCCAGGGTACCCTATAAAAAATCTATTACCCCCCTATTAATTTAAAAAATAACAAAAATACTTTAAAATTTTACAAATACACCCCTAACTTTTGATTACTCATTCATTTGTGTCCAATGTTACTCATGAATCATCTAATCTCTAGATAGCACTTGAATTCAATTAATTCATCACAATTCACATAAAATTCCGCAGTCAAAATCAAAACACAAACAATTAATTAAATTAATTAAACAATTATATTATAAATCTGTAATTTAATATCATAATTAATTAAATTTCTAATAATTTAATTAAGTATTGTACTAATATTTATAATATAATATTTTAATTAATTAAGTAATCATATTATAAATATATAATGTAATGTTATAATAAAATAAATTTTTAATCACTTAATTAAGTAATGTACTAACATAGTAAATTACTAATGTTTATAATGTAATGTTATAAATTTATAATTAATTAAGTGATCATTTAACTATATAATGTTATAATTAATTAAGTGATTATAATATAATGTAATGTTATTATTAATTAAGTAATTATAATGTAATATTTACTAATGTTTATAATAGAATGTTATAATTAATTAAGTAATCATTTAATTAAATAATCATACTATAAATTTATAATGTAATGCTATAAATAATTAAATTTCTAATCATTTAATTAGGTATTGTGCTAATGTAGTAAATTACTAATGTTTATAATATAATGTCATAATTAATTAAGTAATCATTTCATTATGTAATGTTATAATTAATTATATGACCATACTATAATATAATGTTATAATGAATTAAATAATCATATTATAAATCTTTAGTATGATATTATAATTAATTAAGTAATCATACTATAAATTTATAATGTAATGTTGTAATTAATTAAATTTTCAATCATTTAATTAAGTATTATGCTAATGTAGTAAATTACTAATGTTGATAATATAATATCATAATTAATTAAGTAATCATTTAATTATGTAATGCTATAATTAATTATATGATCAAGTAATCATACTATAAATTTTTAATGTAATATTATAATTAATTAAATTTTTAATCATTTAATTAAGTATTATATTAATGTTTATAATGGAATGTTATAATTAATTAAGTAATTATTTGTTTATAATGTAATGTTATAATTAATTAAATTTCTAATTATTTAATTAAGTAATATACTAAATTACTAATGTAATGTTATAAACTTGTAATTAATTAAGTAATCATTTAACGATAATGTAATATGATAATTGATTAAGTAATCATTCAACTAATAATGTATTAATGTTTATCAATTTATTTTATATAATTAATTAATTACTAATTTACTATAGATATACTTTGAATTTGATAATTAAAGTAAATAACTAAATATTATATTATTATTCAATCAAATATACTATTTTATTCAAAAATAATTCTTTTAATAACATTAAAATACTTTTAATTGATCTTAATTCCACTTATACACTTAATTAATCAAAATTTTAATATTAATATATTATAATATATTAAAGTTTTTTATATGTTGTAGTTTATATGTAATAAGTATAATTGTATATTTATTTAATTAGGTTATTGTAAAAATTTAACTTTTTCCATTTTAATTTTTTTATATGTAAAATTACAATAGATCTTCATTCTTCACAGATATTTTATTTCAGCCCAGATTGTAAAACAGGACACCCGTTGCAAGTTTCAAGCTGGGTACTGCAGGTTCTTTTTTCTAGGTTCTAGTTCCGATTCCTACAAATGTAGGAACCAGAACTGGAATCGCACAGTGTCGGTTCCAAAAAAATAGAACTGGAACCTACCCGCACAGTGTCGATTCCAAGTAGGTTTCGGTTCTACTTATACGTTTCGGTTCTACCCGCTACCTATGCTCACCTCTAGTCATATACCCTATCTTAAAAGGAATAGCATTCACAAATTAAATAAATACAAACACCCCATAAATTATGTCTAAAGTTAATTATTTTTAAAGTTAAATAGATAAATGATTATGGGATAAACTATAATAATCCTAAACTAAACCTTAAAGGTGCATTGATCAAAAAATCTAAAATACAACGGGGATACGATGTCATATATACCACATTCCAGTGAATTTATGCCACCTCGGACTATCTTTAAATTTGTTTTGATTTGTAGTTATTAATTGTTCAGTTGGCACCCTCGAAAACATTACCCAAAGGTGTCATTGGAGTTGAAATATGACAATAGTGACAAACAATCAATGTTAATAATGGTTTAGTGAAATCATTTTTTTATTTGACATTGAGCTAAGTTGTCATTATATTTTTTCTTAGAAAACTATGATGTTGAGCTAAATTAAGCTCTTAGCCGTAAAGATTAACCTTTTTACTTTTAGATTGTTGAGGATAGGATAAGTATCTGATACGAAGGCAAATGTTAGGGGAAGTCTTTGTGTTATTTTTGACATGTGAGGCATTACCCTATATTTAGGGCGGGAGGGTAAGTCTTTGTGTTATTTTTGACACGTGAGGGATTAGCCTATATCTAGGATGGGTTCACGGTTGTTGTAATTTATCCCATAATAATTTATTCCATAAGTTATCTAGTGTTTTGAAACTCAGACCCGGACCGGCCAATTCAGTTGGGAATTGGACACTTATTTGGTCTAGGAATATCCTAAACTCGGTTGTAATAGTTGGATCGGATTGACCCGAGGTTGAACCGACAAAACAGTGCCAAATCGCCAGTTCAACCATCAGGTTAGAGAATTGGTGGTCGGCGACAACTATTGTAGGTGGGTTGAGGAGGACGACATTTGAAGTTGTGAAGGGATGAGGTGAAGAGGAAGGCTAAAGGTGGTGTTGGAATCGACGATCACGCGCGATGACAGTTGCGCGATCACAAGGTGGGTCGTGCAAGCGGTGTTGATCAATTGGAAATCGACGAAAATGGAGTAGGGAAAGTATTTAGGTGGTGCCTAGAGGGTCAGGAAAAACAAGTGGGCTCTGAAAACGACCCGAAAAAGGTTGAGAGCAGTCGCACAAATTCAAAGTGACTAGAAAAACTTTTGTTGTGGCAGATGGTGGTGTTTTTTGGTGGATTAGGGTTTTTGTGGTGGCCTGGTGGTGGTTTGTCCGACATTGGGCTGATCTTGAATGGATTTTAGTTGCGACGACTAGGGTTTCTTGGCCAGATTGTAGAGGTGTGTTTGTTGGATTTCAAATCTGTAAGGACTGATGCGTAGTTTTTTAAGGGTGTATTTGCTAGATTTTAAACCTGCTGGATATGCTGACGTCACTGGTTCGACCGATCGATCCAACAAGTCGGATCGATTGACTCAAGAATTGACCCCTTGATCGGGTTAAGGCCCGGTGAGGTTTAAAAACTTTGAAGTTATCATCTCCATGTGTTTGATAGACACATCTCAAAAGTGACTATAAGAGAAGTAGTTATGTAATAATCTATTTTATAAAATCAGTCGAAAAGTAGGTTTTTGCAGCTTTTAAAATTTAAAAGTTGCTTTGAAAGTCAATTACAAAAATACCCTTCATATATACAAAAATAAATTTAAACAAAAATTTAATTAATTACATAAGTTTAATAATTTATTTATAAATTTAAAAATATTAAAATGGTAGGAGGTTGCCGGTCAGGTCAACAATCGGTCAATATCTATAAATACTTATTTTAATAATAAAAAAGCTGTTTTGGTCTTTTTACATGTGTCATATCCCCTATCTTAAAAGGAAAAGTATTCACAAATTAAATAAGTTCAAACACCCCATAACTTATGTCTAAAGTTAATTATTTTTAAAGTTAGATAAATGATTATGGGATAAACTATAATAATCCTAAACTAAACCTTAAAGGTGTATTGATCATCGGTTGAGCATATGCTAAACCTAACCATATTCATAAATCAAACATCAAAGTCAAATTATTTTATGGAGTAGAAGATGGCATACGTAATATTTTGAATTCATTAACATTCAAGTATAAATATCAGCATAAAAACACATCAGAAGTATTCAATTCAAGATAAAAATAATCAAAATCCATACTTAGTTTTAAGCAGAAAATTAAAATGGCGACCTCGAAACTTCATGTGGCAATGTTTCTCTGGTTTGCCTATTGTTACGGGTTGAGAGTTTCACACCCAAAATATTAATTTATTAGGTGAAGTAACTCTCCCCTTTATAAGCCAAGACCTTTCCAATATATTTCCGATATGAGATTCGTTATAATATTCTTCCCCACCCAATACTGCGACACCCTTGTCATAGGTGGAGCCCCTAGTTTACTTGTCCACCTCACTCTCGTGTGGACCCACAATCACATATGGACGCTCTCATATGGGCGCTTGACGGGATACCGAAAGACGGATTGAGAACCCCTTCCCTACTCGTCCACCTCACTCTCGTGTGGACCCACAATCACACATGGACGTACTCACGTGGGCACTTGGCGGGACACCGAAAGACGGATTGGATCCATTTTGATATCACTTGTCATAGACTAGGAGTTTTACACTCAAAAAGCTAAGCTATTAAGTGGAGAGACTCCACCTTTATAAACTGAAGACATCCTCGATACGCTTTGGATTTGTTACACTATGGCCTTTTCATTCCCTTCCTTTACCTCTCCAACAAGCTTGCCGAGAGAGGTCACAGAGTTTCTTACTTGTTGCCCAAAGGAGTTAAGCCGAAGCTCGAACAACTCAACTACCATCCAGACCTCATAAATTTCTTTACTATTTCGATTCCTCCTGTCGATGGTCTCCCTCAAGGTGCAGAAACCATGTCCGATATTCCATTATCTCTTCAAGGACTCCTTGGTGTTGCCATGGACAAAACTCAACCTCAAGTTGAGACCATTCTCGCAACCCTCAAGCCAGACATTGTCTTCTTTGATTTTGCAACATGGCTTCCAGCAATAACTCGTCCACTAGGCGCCAAGTCAATCTGCTTCTCAGTGATAAACGCAGCCACGTATGCTCTATTCTTGGTTCCAGCTCGAAAAATGGCTCCGGACATGAACCTGGAAGAGCCGTTGCAGCCACCGCCTGGCCACCCATCTTCAAATGTGGTCATAAGAGCCAAAGACGCCCCTTATATTGCTCCCGCAAACAGCGTCAGTCCAATATTGTCTATTTTCAAGCGGGTAACTGGTTGCTTCCAAGAATGCGATGCAATTGCCTTTAGATCATGTCAAGAAATGGAGAGAGTTTATTTTGATTATGTTTCACAACAATACTCAAAGCCCGTGCTGTTAATGAGGCATTTGTTGCCTAAAACATCAGCTTCACAGCTTGAAGAGAAATACGATAAGTGGCTAAACAAGTTTAAACCAGGTTCCATTGTGTATTGTGCATTTGGCTGCCAAATTACACTCGATTTAAAGCAATTGCAAGAGCTGGTTTTGGGGTTTGAGTTGAGGGGGCTTCCATTTTTGGTGGCTCTAAAGCCACCGGAAGGATTTTCAACCATCGAAGAAGCTTTACCTGAGGGGTTTGAATAGAGGGTTCGTGGGAGAGGTTGGGTTCGCTGATACTTGAACACCCCTCAGTTGGGTGTTTTGTGAGTGTCACTGTGGGTTTGGTTCATTGTTGGAATCGTTGATTGATTAAAGGACTTCTATCTGATTGATTGATCAGCACGTTGAATTCAAGAAGCTCGAAAATAAGCCGTCGTTTCTTTACATTTGGTTTAATAATTCATAACTATCTAATTTGTTGCTTCTGCAACGAAAGATTTTCTTTAAGAATATTTGCTAATTTCTTGTATCCGATATACTCGTTGTACTGCTATATCTTTTGTGCCTTTTTATTGTGTTGACGTGGTTTTTCGCACCAACGAAAAATAAAATTACGCCAGTCTCTTAGTGAAACCTACGGGGTTTGTAGTAAACATGTGTTTTAATGCTGGATTAATGTGAAAATAATAAACAAACACGAAGGATAGAGAGTTTTTAAAGTAATGGTTCGGATATAAAATACAAATCTTATATCCATTGTTATTTTATTATTTTTTATTTATGATTTTCAATACAAGCAAGCTCAATCTCTAACACAAATGAGTAGATTTCAACAACAAGAAATTTACTGTCCTAAGATCCACAAATTCGGGTGAGAGATCAGTATTTATATTGTTACATTGGAGGATTTACTGATAAAGTAATCTTAACAGAGAGTTACACGCGGCCTGGGATGGACTTAAACATGAAGTAACCCTCACATAGGATAACAAGCGGCCTTATTGACTGTTCAGCCTTAAAACTTACCAATGAAATAATCTTTATAGACTAACAAATGAAGTAGCCCTCTCATGGAGTGACACACGATCTGGGTGTCAGCACACTTTTTAGGATACGTGGCGTGAATCCATGCAATGTGAATTTATCGCACAACATATTGATTTATGAAGATGATGATTTCATCTATTCGGTAGAGGAGATGATGATGAATTAATTTGATATTTTACTCACCTAATTTTTCCTACGAATTAATTAAGATAAAATCTCAACTTTACTTAGGTTTTAGTTGAAGTACCTGACATTATGACATAACTCATAAAAATCTCCTATTGTAACAAGATTGTTAAAAGGACAAACCTCAAGCAGTATCTATATTAAAAGAACTTTATTAAAATAGTTTTAAATCATATTTTTCTAAGATTCTAAAATGCCCTAGGAAATAAGAGTTTTTTATTTAAAGCAAAATAATACGTTAAGGAAGAAGGTAGAATCACATTTGATTGATTATGGGCAAGATTACCCTTCGAATGTATCAAATTGCCCTAGGAAAGTTCACTAGATTAAAATAGATTTCAGAATCATATTTATAATTAATAATGTTAAATTTTGAGAAAATATGTGGTTAAATATGATATCAAATAAAATATAAGGGACCTTTTAATATTATTATAGGACTGAAATTAAATAAAATTAATGAGAGGAATTCTATTGATATTATCCAGTCAAATTAAATTATGTGAAAAGTGAAAACGTTTATAAACGACGCTGTTTTATTATCTGAATTCATCTATTCACTCCAAATTCTTCCAAGTCTTTTCCCAAGTACAATGTACTAAACTTTAAATTATTAACAAAAGACACCCTTCTATTATCTGAATTCATAACTCAAAATTCTTGAACACCCCATTTGCCAAGAGTTATCACCATCAGAGTAAGGTATGGCTTTTTACATGATTATTACTCTAAAATACGTTAATATTTGATTTGTTCTTAATCATTTCGTTAATCCTTATTATTGACTTAAATCTCTGTGATGTTTACTTGTCTGATTATCAATTTTCAACCGTTGATCGTCTAAAATTGTTGTGTCTGGTTTAGGTTATAAGTTGATTGCGTTTGGTTCCTAAAAAAATTAGGAGAAAAAACAAGTTTTTAAGAACTAATTAAAACGAAAAAAAAAAAAAAAAAGCATTTTACTTGTTCTGATTAATTATTCCTGGAAAAGAAGCAAATAAGACGAAATTTTGTGTGGCCCAACAAACAGATATTTCTGCAATTTGTATAGAATTGGGAAGGGTTCTGGGTTGATTTTGTGTAGTTTCTGGAAATTTTGTAATGATTTTGGAGGAGTTGATGGAGCAGTTGAGGAGTAGTAGCTGGTATAAAGATTGATAAAGAGTTTTCTAGGGATCTTGTGATGTTCATCAGCTCATTTTCTCGAAGCTTGAAATTTGTATTCAATCCAGTAATGTATCAAAATTCTGTCCATTTGGATTAAGTCTAAAATTAGTTGAGGCTTAATTATTAGCCATCAAAATTCCGTCCAGCAGATCGAGTTGCTACTGGTTCATAGTAGAATAAATTAAACAAAGTTTTTAGTTTCTTGCAAAATAATCATTTATTGAGATTTTATCTGTTACATCCATGAAATTGCTTTGATTACTGTAAGCATGATGTATTAAGATTTTATACATGGGTAGGGCGAAGTCATTAAATCATCTTACTCACACAATCGGAAAACCTCCATGCACCGACGACAAGATCGATGTTGGGACTTGGCGTCAATGCACTCACAATACACGTCAACGTATTCATAACCTCGATGCACTCACATTACAGCAGAGAAATGTTACATCGATGCAGTACCTAAAGTATATGCTGGTGCCGGTACAAGTATTCTCTTATTTCCTACTACACTTACAAATAAATTTTACAAAGATCTTCATATAAAGTGATATGACAAAAAATAAATGGAAGAGTGAATTTAATGAGTTTGACTTTTTATTTCACTCTTCCATTTATTTTTTGCCATCTCACTTTGTATGAAAATCTTTGTAAGTATAGTATTATTATTTTAGTAGTGTCATTCAATTTATATTCCATTACATTCATGTATATATGCTCTAACACAAGAATACAATGTTTTAAAACCTGGTCTAGCCCATCCGATTGAACCGGTTCAACCGAGACCCGGGTTACCAATTTTCCTATTCACCAAAAACCCTAGAATTTGAGATAATGATCGATGAACAATTGAAGGCCAGGATATTGGGGCTTTTGAAGAGGAAGAGTCGGTGAGTGCAATGGTGGTGACGGAGGAGATTTCTGGTGAGTGAATCAATTGGAAATTGAAAAAAATCGAAGGCAACAATAGTCGGTTTTTGCTAACGATTGGCAAGCCGAGCAAGAGTAGGGTGAGATGGGCTTTGGTTAGGAGGTTGAGGGGAGTATTTTCGTGGGGAAGGGGACGGTTGTCGACGCTGGCGATGGTGAGATCTAGCCTAGGTTGTCGAGGCCGGCAGTGGTGAGATCTGGCCTTGGTTGTCGACATCAACGATGGTGAGATCTGGTCGAAATTGAATCGATTTCGGCTACATCTTGAGTAGATTTTCTAGGGAATGAGCTCAAGGGATGATTTGGATTGCATTTGGTATGTTGCCGCCGCCAACCAGTCAACCACCGATTTATATTTGAGGTATGTTTGCTAAATTTTAAACCTATAGTTATAACTATAGTTTTTAGTGGATGCATTTGCTGAATTATAAACTTTTTGACACATCAACCAGGGACCTAACAACTTTGCCGGGTTTCACCCCGGGTTGGTTATTAATACATTGCAGGAATATTTTCCCTTTGAGGGAAGTCAATCTTTCATCTTTAATATTTTCATTTCTGGCGCTGAACATCATCGTTGTCACCTGAATGGTATATTAGCTTCTTGGGAATAGTACTTGAGAGACATTAATGGTTGAATTGAAGAGTAATATTACTCGTCATGCAGTGCTTAGATGTGAATGGATAGGCTGCATGTTATCTAGGTAGGAAAATAAATGCAAGTACGGTTACTTCACAAGACCATGTAGGAAAATAAATGCAAGTATGGTTACTTCACAAGAATATGCCGCTATCTGAAATTCTAGAGTAAACGACATGTTCCCACCCAAAGATTAGCGAAACTCTAAGTTCCACGCTTGGTTTTATTTATTCTAGATTCCCATTATTAAATTAATACTGTTAATAATTTTTGGACTCTGACACAATATGGAGAGTGTTATTGCCAAAATGCCTTTTCAAAGAAAGTAATAAATTACTTTTTAACCTCAAATAGATTTGGATTTTTCTAGCAAACCCAAGGGAGTGGAAAGTCGGGAGAAAAGGCTCAGATCCGATCGAAATGGAGGCAGACAAGGCTCGGGGATGGATAGGTGTGGTTGGGGATGAGGGGGGGAAGCTAGTGGTCGTGATGGTGATGTCTAATGGTGTCGAAATCTGGCTAGATCTAGATTTTTCTGGCAGCCATGAGGGAGGGGAAAATCATAGATAAAAGGCTCATATCCGACCAAAATGGAGGTAGAAGAGGTTGGGGGATGGATGTGTTTTGTCGAGGATAAGTGGGGGAAGCTAGTGGTGGTGATGGTGATGTCAAATGGCGTCGAAATCCAACCAAATCCAGATTTTTCTACGGCCAAAATGAAGGCTGAAGACGCAAGAGGATGGATGGGTTTTGTCAGGGATGAGTGGAGGAAGCTAGTGGAGGTGGCAGTGATGTCCAATGATGCCGGAATCTGGCTAGATCTAATTTTTTGCAACTGCCACAAGGGAAGGGAGTGATGAGGGGTGCTTGTGAGAGAAATTTGAGATATAAAGGGTTATTTGAAATTTTTATTTTTATGTAAGATTTAATGCAGTGTAAATTACCATTTTAACCTTTGATCGTTAAATTAAATGATTTTTTGTTAATTTAATGCTGAAAATCTGGAATAAATGAAAAGAGGGATGGGAACTTGAAATTTCACTAATCTTTGTGTGGGATTGTGGGAGCATGTCGTTTACTCGAAATTCTAAATCATCTACTTCTGAATTTATGATCTGTATGAACAAAACCTCGGAGATATAGGTAACATTTATGACTAATGCTAATGGTCCCATCCACTGATTTTATTTTGTTATGTATAGAGAAAAGTTTTGACACAGATCTTGAGCTTATTCTAAGTTGTCTTTCCTCAAAGAATTTTCTGACCGCACGGCATGGGTTATCAAAATACTTGATGTATAAATACATATGAACCAGAAGTTTTCCATTTCGTTCTACACTCCAACTCACTATTTTGAAACACAAAAATGGATACCTCAAAACTTCATGTAGCAATGTTTCCATGGCTTGCTTTTGGCCATTTCATTCCTTACCTTCACCTCTCAAACAAGCTTGCAGAGAGAGGTCACAAAGTCTCCTACTTATTGCCTAAAGGAGCTCTCCCAAAGCTACAACAACTAAACCACCATCCAGACCTTATTCACTTCTTTCCTCTTGTGATTCCCCATGTTGATGGTCTCCCTTCAGGTGCAGAAACTGCTTCCGATGTACCATTCCCTCTTCATGACCTACTTATTTCTGCCATGGACAACACTAAAGATCAAGTTGAGACAATTCTCACCAATCTCAAGCCAGACATTGTCTTCTTCGATTTTGGACAATGGATTCCGTCAATAACCCGTCAGTTAGGAACTAAGTCGATTTACTATTCAGTGGTTAACGCATGCACGCTTGCATTCTTCATGGTCCCAGTTCGAAGAATTACTCTGGAGACTACCTTGGAAGAGCAAATTCAACCACCGCCTGGCTACCCTTCTACTACTGTGATAATTAAACCCAATGAGGCTCCTCATATTGTTGGGCTAAGCGATCCCCTTGAAGGGGTTTCCCTTTACGGGCGGCTGACTGGAAGTATGAAAGAGAGCGATGCAATTGCTGTGAGAACTTGCCATGAAATCGAGGGATCTTTCTGTGACTATCTTGCTCAGCAGTATTCAAAGCCTGTGCTGTTAACAGGGCCTGTATTGCCTGAAACACCAGATGCACAGCTTGAAGAGAAATGGGATAAGTGGTTATACAAGTTTGAGCCAGGTTCAGTGGTGTATTGTGCTTTTGGTAGCCAAATTACACTACAAAAAGAACAATTCCAAGAGATGATGTTGGGGTTTGAGTTAAGTGGATTTCCATTCTTGGTGGCTCTGACACCACCTCATGGATGTTCAACCATCGGAGAAGCATTACCTGAAGGGTTTAAAGGGAGAATTGGTGAGAGAGGTTGGGTGCATGGAGGATGGGTATCGCAGACACTGATACTAAAACACCCTTCTGTTGGGTGTTTTTTAAGTCATTGTGGATTTGGTTCCATGTGGGAATCTCTGGTTAGTGATTGTCAAATAGTGTTGATTCCATTTCTACCTGATCAAGCTATGGGTGCAAAATTAATGGTAGAAGAATTGAAGGTAGCTATAGAAGTGGGTAGGGGACTAGACGGAATGATTGGCAAGGAAGGTTTGAGCAAAGCAATCAAATCAGTAATGGACAATGAGACTGAAATGGGTAATTCAGTGAAGAACAATCATGTTAAGTGGAAAAATATATTTTCTGGCAAGAATTGGCAAGATGAAAAGATCGATGGTTTCGTTCAGGATCTGCAATTTCTTTTGGAATCTGGGAAATAGAAACCTCATGGGCTTAAATGCAAAAGCAAGTTCACAGATGTATGATGGGGGACAGCAGTTATTTTTTATTTTTTTTCAATTAGTAGTGTATGTGTTAAGTCAGATGTTGTGTTTAGCTTGTTCTAATATTGGGTCATTTCTTGTCCAAACTTAATAAACTTCTCTTAGTTAAAGAAGTTGTACTTTCAATTTCATCATTTAATAAACAACAATTAAGGTAAAATCCTTTAGAATTGTAGATTTAGTGCAGGTAACGTGTTAAGGATCCTTCCCTGGCCAAATCTCAGGTTTTTCAATTTCTCTCTTATCCACAATCAATTCAACATACTCACAACAAATGAAATTCCAAAATTTGTTCTATCATCATCTCTAATTTCATTTACCATCACAAGCTTCTTGTTTCTTGAAACAAAAAGCTGCAGTAGAGGAAAAAAAGAAACAAAATTGATCACAAACCTTTATTTTCCGCAGAAATAGATGAGAAATAAAATTAGGAAAAATTCAGCTCTGATAGTAAGCGGCTGCGGCTGTTTGTGACGGCTAGTGCTGGTGTTGCAAGTTGTTGGTGGGTTACTGCCTACTGGGTTATATTGGAGAGGTGAAAGACAAAATTGTAGTTGGGATAGTCTGAAGGGGTAATTTTTGTTTTTTTGTGGGCAATATTGTCAGTGATTTTGGCGTGATGTTATGAAGAGGGTGAAGTAATATATTATTTGGGAGACTTCACAACTTCTGTGATGCCAATTGCCTGATTCTGTTTTTCTTCCAGGTGCCTATTTTTTCCCATCCCTGAAAATCAGAGTGGTCCCTTTATTGCCTTAAGCTTTCTTGCTAGAGAATTGAGTACACAGCTTTCAGAATTCAGATATTAATGGATGAAGTGCATGTTAAGTGAATAAATGCAAACATGGTGTAGCCCACAAGAATACCTGAACATGGGTCGGTTACGTTGGGGATTAGATAGTATTAAATCGAACAATTTATTACACTTATATAACGTGATATAACAAATATTTTCTGGCTTTTTTATTTCACTGAATCATTTTCAACTGTTGGAGAAAATGAAATAAATAATAATTTTATTTCAAAAAGATACAATGATGAATAATGAAGATTGCACGAAAGCTAAAAGGCTGAGTCATGGATATCTTGTTTTCTTTAAGGAGATTCTAGTTCTCTACAATCGACAAAGCTTAAGAAACCGGTATAGTAGAAAAACATCTTAACCTGTCTTCTCCAGGATACAACAGCCCAATAGTTTCGTTGTTTGGTTGATAGCAACCCTACACAAATTGCTGAACCCAAACTCCTCTAAAGGAACACCTTTCTCTAACTAATATTTTTCTCTCAATAGAATGGATGAAGATAGAACAAATGTGTGTGATGAATGTATATAAGAGACATTTATATACTACTCTTCACATACTTCATCTTTTCATATTCATTACTCATCTTTTAATTCAATCACCATACCCACCTCCAATTCAATAACTTAACTCCCATCATCTTTAATCTTCCAACCGTCTATCTTTCATCTTCCTACTTTTCATCCTTCCTCTTCCAACCTTCCATGAATAATAAAAAAAATAAAAAATGCAAGTTATAACATCAACCATATTTGAGGACCTTTTCAATAATTTCTGAGGGCAACTTGTCCTTGGAAACATTACATTTTTTCTTTTAATCTCTATTATATTAATAGAAAGAGAAGTTTTTGTACGATGACTAATATAAAATATAGTCAATCTCATAGATGAGAATCAACTGGCTTCATCAAGAAATTAAATTTATAGCAAATCATGTTATAGCCTCTGAGATTTGACATATTATCTGTGCGGGAGATTAATGAAAGAAGTTTAATAATTAAGATATGGTTTCAGTTCATTAGAGAAAGGATCAAATAGCTACAACTTGAAAATATGGCTTGCCATGACCCTCGAAATGGGGATTTTGCTGGTAAAGTCACCATAGATAAAAGTGAGACTGCCAGTTTAATTTTGTTTTCTTAAAGCTTTGTGCCTATCAATCCACAATAACACTAGCATGCACTTAAGAATATCAGAGGCTCTATTTGGTTCATTATTCTGATAATTTTTAGAATAATCTTTAAAAAAAAGTTAAATTTGGTAGGTATTACGATGTAGGATTTAGAAATTAACAAAAATATCCCATATATTTGTTTATTTACTAAACACCTCTATAATAAAATATTAAAAGTTAACAAAAATACCCCCAACCCACCCATTAAATACGGACAGTCGGCCACCACCGCCGGAGGGTGGCCGAAGTGTTTTTGTAATTTAAAAAAAAAATATTTGGGAGTGTTTAGTTAAATTAACAAATTTAAGAGGTTTAAAAGAAATTAAAAAATATAGAATAATATTATGGGAATAATAAAATTTTACTGTTTAACTTTATTATATTCCCAAAAGCGAAACAAACGAAGCCAGAAACTCTAGCTTGGGTACGTTCTGTAAATTTCCATTCAATGGACATCATGCGCAAGTCATTTTTCAATTCTTTGCTAATAACATCCCTGTGTAACCAAAACATGCTCTAGCGGATCAATAGCCTGCAAGTCTCTGAATACATAAATTGCCCACAAGTTGTAATAGCCAAGAAATAGAATAAATTCAAGAGTTAACGAAACATGTTACCACCCAAAAAATGATCTATTGACATTTTCCCACCCTCAAACTTTTAAAACACCCTTTTACTACCCAAATATTAGGTTATCCTCCGATTTGGGTGGGAAACAAAGTGATTTACTTAAAAACCCCTCTCTTCTTTCTTCACTTCTAAGCTTTTTCCATTGCCAGCAGTTGCCGTTGGCATTGGGGAGTGTCGACGACAAGGAAATTAACAAAAAAACATTCCTTAATTATTTTTCAACCCAACAAATACAGAATCAAATCAATTAATCCAATTAAAACTCAAAAAACCCTAAGGTGGGGAAGCTTCAATCGCTGGCAATTAGTGAGCAAGCGGGATTGGGAATGTTAGGGCTTTTGGAGAGAAGATTCAGGGAGTCGATTGGTGTGGCAAGGACGATTTTTGACATTGGAAACGATTAGAAATCGGCTTGGAATTTGAAAGGTCGTGCGATTCACGATCGGTGATCGACAAGCAAGGGACAGTGATAGAGGTAAGGGTTTTGTAGAGTGGGTTGTGGGGAGTGTGATGGTGGTGTTTGGGTGAACCCAAAATCTGACTTGAAGAGTCGGCTGTGTGAACGGAAGTGGTGGTGGGAAATGGTGAGTGATGACAGCAAATGGGGACTTGGGCTTTGTAGAAGAGGTGATGGGGATTCTCTGGGTGGTGTCAGAAGTTATTTTCAATGCCAAGATTGGCAAAAATGGCAAAAACCAGTCGGATCTAACGTTGCTAATGTGTGCCATCTTTTGCTAACGTGCACTGTTCTTCTTCTCCAGTAGCCACTATTTGGTGACCATTCTGCCTTTCCTGACAACAAAAATTACTAATAAAATGTGGGTGGGTATGAATTTGTCAATGGGCTATTTTTTGGGTGGGAACATGCCGTTAACTTTAAATTAAACAAAATTTTAGCATAATAATAATTTATTGAGATTTTTTTTAATTAAAGCCACATACCTTAACTATTATCACTATGATATTGCTTTGATTACTGTAAGCATCATGTTTTGTTAACTAAGATCTTATATATAGGTAGGGCAAAGTAATCAATTAAATCATATCATATGAGTACATTCAATTATATTGGCCAACAAACTTCTTTAATTTTTGCATTTCTGGGTTGAACATCATCGAGTGGCCTTTTCATAATGGTACTGTCTAAGCTTCTTGGGGAAAGTCCGTAGTGTAGTATTTATTCATCATGCAGTTTTTTAGATCGATGTCAATGAATAGAGTGCATGTGAAAGATTTACTAAAAACAAGAAATAAACTCAACAAAAATACAAAGAAAATATGCAAAGAAAGAGACGAGCAAAATGAGTAAATTCTGGAATTTCTTTCTCTAACTGAATCTGTCACAGGTATACTATTTTTATAGTTTTCAGTTATACAAAACACACCACTTTTACAAAATTTTAGATCTTTACATCTAGGCCCCTAACATCTCATATATCCAATATCCCCTCTTAAACAAAGCATGTCTTCAACTCTAAAATTCTCTACTACATTTTCTGACCTTCACATATCCAATATCCCCTCTTAAACAAAACATGTCTGTACCTCTGAACTTTCTGCTACATATCCAGGACTTATGCCACTTCTATTACTCTAACATTCGTTATTGCAATTTTTGACCTTCACATATCCAATATCCCTTCTTAACCAAAAACACGTCTGCACCGCTTAACTTTCCACTATAGTTTCTCTGTTCCACTTTTGCTATTTATCTTCTCTTGTACAACCTTATTCAGGCAACTCATCCTTAAGAAAGCAAACCTATTACTTGGAAGAGCTTTGATTAAAATATGAACAATCTAAAATTCAGATGCAACATACTAAACACTGACACTTTTCTGGGCAACTTAGTCACAAATATAATGCACATCTATTTCTATGTGCTTAGTTCACGCATGGAAAACAGGGTTGGTAGACAAAGAACCTGCACTCATGTTATCACACAAAATAACAAGCATATTAGTAATATTTATTCCTAGTTTAGCAAACAATTATTTGATCCACACAATTTCAGTAGCAGTATGGCTTAGAGATCTGTATTCAACTTCTGTAAAAGACAAGGAAACTACCTTTTGTTTCCTAGAGATCCACTAAACTAAATGTCTCCCAACAAACACACTATAGCCTGTAGTTGATCTCCTATTAGTGATATCGCTCGCCCGATCAGCATCAACAAAGGCTTCAATGATCTTTCTTTGTGAATAACAAACCATGCTTAACAGTTCTCTTGACATACCTTAATATTCTTTTGCATGTTGTCCAGTGGTTGACAGTGGGATGTTGGAGGAATTGACTAAATTTATTCATGGCAAAAGCTAGATCAAGTCTAG